CAGCTGCTGTTCCTCTGTCCTCCATATATCTTATCCTCCCTTTCCTGTCTCTCTCTCTTTATCTTTCTCTCCCTTTCCCCTCCTCACCTCCTCACCTTCCATCTTTACCTCCATCCCTTGTTCTGTCTGTCCAGCTGGGCTTTGCTTGGTTCTGATTCTCACCTTTAATTATTCTGATTGCCAGCCTCACTGTCCTTTCTGTGATCAAGGAATGTCAAACAGGGACAAAAAGTATAGCCTTCTTAGGCATGCAGTCCAAACCACCCTGTCCTCCCTTTACTTTGTGCGCTGTGTATCTGTCTACCTGTTGTGTTTTCACATGGATTTTAACCTGTGATGTTGTTTTTTTCACTGACAAGTCGAACAAGACCAAAGGAATCCATATTTTAGAGCAAAACAATAGTCTTTGTCAACTGGCTGGGTGTCAAACTCCCCTCAGATTTGGTTAGACTTCACAGATAATGTTTACAATTTTCAACATCCTCAGAATGTTTCCCTTTCAACTTTTATTTTTATTTTAATTTTTTTTGTATGCCCTGTTTTTCATCATCATATTGTGCAACAATAACACCTTCTTTCTTTGTTTCCGATTGAAGCCATGCAGTGCACAGTAGCCATTTTGGCTGTAGGCAATCTTAGTGGTTCATGTGAAACTACAACTTCAGTGCATTTCACCGAAGGCTGACTGTCTGTCTGTCTGTCAGTTTGTGTCCCTCACATGTGGGTTAATGTATTTATCTGTCTTTTTTGTCTATCGATCTGTCTTTCACTCTGTCACTCCATTTGTTGGAGAAAGGGTCATCACACAGGGCCAAATGCCTTTATTCACATCAGGCTTTAACCAATATGGGTCTTTGATGTCTCTTGAAGGTATTTTCGGACTGAAGCTAGCATTCTGTGTTGACATGAAATATGTTTAAATTAAAAAATGAAAACAAGTATTGAGTATTTCCTTGAGAAGACTTGTGAGGTGAGTAAAGCTTCTGAAACAGCATTCAGACCTTGAGACTGGGGCAGGATTGTCATGATGTTGTATACTGAGGTGTTATCCCAAAAACAATCTCGGAACCCATCGACTATCGTTCTGACAACGATAAGCCTCTGGGGGCGTGGGGGCTATATTTCTAGGGTTCCAGTGTAGCCAGCTGATATCCGGGCCAAGTCTTCCTCTTCTGTGAGCTGCTCGTTGTTTACAGTCTGATTAGCAACTTGAGAAGTGAGACTGGAGTTGAGAGACAACGTGTACGACCGGAAGTAGCCATTTTATGCTACGTCATTTTAAACCAATAAAAAGCTAAATCTTCGTCAGTAGACAGCCGGTTGTTTCCCAAATTGATTTTTGTTCCAATGCATTCCCCTTCTTTTGCTCTACACAAGGACTGTTTACCTGCATTTGACCAAAGCCCACTCAAATGTGATTGGTCAATACTACTCGGAGTACAAACAGAAACCTGAACTCAGCTTCAGTTCTTTGTTATTTCCCTCCACCTTCTCCTCATCACTGTACTTTCATGAAATTCATAAAGTCCCGGTGATTCGAGTGAATTTGACACATTTTGAACTTGCACAGAAACTTCAGCTCGTACCACCGCGGGCAAATATGTGTCGCTATCCATTGACTTCGTATGCAATTGCACCACTTATTAAAATTATATTTGTGTTCCGTCACAGTAAAAGACACCCCGTAAAAGTTGTTTCCATGGTAACAATCTATGACAGGAAGTAGTAGTAGTCATTGCTTTTTTTCAAAATAGATTTGTTGCTGGGATTGCTTCACTAATACACCCATCATTTTCTCCACGCACTTGCAAGTTCCTCAACAGAGTGGCCAGAGCTGAGGTGCTTGAAGCAGTCCCCCATGTCCCCCTGTCCAAACTGGACACGTTTCAGCTGCATGCTGTAGTTGTTTGTCTTGTGTGTTTACTAATGAAAGACATACTCTTCAGTTGTAATCAGTACAGCTGTCTACACAGGCCACGTAACAGCTCATGTCTTTCACATAAATTATTTCAATCCTAAGCGTATTTTTGTGCTTTAAGTCAATTTTTTTCCAACTTACATGTACAACTACACAATGTGTCTATTAGGCTGTGGGCACTGTTAAAAACCCTCCTGTAAGCAATGTTTCTGCTGTTGGGAACGAAATGGAGTTATTAACATCAATAAGTTCATTAACAATTACTAATAATAACGGGGAACCACCCTGCGAACAGGGACCGATAACCAAACTATAAACTAAATATGTCCCCAGCGCAACATTGGATGTAACAGTTCCTATCACATATAAAACCAAACAAAAATCCATCTTCATAAAAACAAGTTGTACATATAATTATATATAAACAAGCATATTAAAGCTACTGCAGATGTAAAAACAAAAGCAGTTCACTTACCAGAGCTGCTGTTCACTATTTAGCTGCTGTTCCTCCTTTTTTTAGTTAATAAAGAGTTTAATCTCACGGTTGTTCAGTACATCCGTGCGTTTTAGTTCCAGTAAGAAGTCCTTCTGGATTCATGGACGCCAGTGAAGACAGTCGAGCCTCCCCAGTTGTATTTCTTGAATACATTTTAATGCGTTTGAGGCTGAAAATATCTGCTCGACAGAGGCAGCAGATATTGGGATTGTGACCGCCCAACATGTCACGCTAGCCCACTGACCAATCACGTATGGCTAGGCCAGCTAGAAGGCTGTGGCACGTCAAAGAATACGCCCAACATGTCAAACTAAAGACCTGATTGGTTGAAGACTGTGACAATCAACAATATCTTCCCCATTCACTTAAACTTCAAAGGGATTCACTTGAGTCTGCAGGCCTCTGGCCTCTCTTCTTACCTAGAGACACAGAGGTGAAATCTGATTGGATAAAAGCTCTACTTAAAACAAGCTGCACTGGAAGCAGAGCAACTGAGGAAGACAGTAGCTGTGCAATGAGAAAATAAGATAATGGGAAAAAAAATTATAATACATGTAGTGTATTTATGAAAAATTATTAAATTATAAAATAGCTATAACTTTGTGATTCTGTCCAGGCCAGCAGAGAAGGCCTAGCTGGCCCTGATGGCCCACCACTGCTAATACCTAAAGTCAAGTGGGCAAACTGTGGTGTGAGAATATATATATATATGTGTATGTGCATGTATGTGTAACGGAGTTACACATACATGTATGTGTTTTTATACATGTATTACATGTATTTATACATGTATATACATGTATTTATACATACATGTATATACATGTATTTACATTACATACATGTAAATACATGTATTTATACATACACCATATATGAGGGGTGTATGTGTGTAGGGGAGGAGCGAACTACTCAGACAGTGGTAGAATGTAATCTCAAGCGGGGCCGCGCCCTGTGGGCCTACAAACAAGATGGCAGAGGTAAAAGAACTATGACAAATTAGAGGGAGGTGGCTACGTATGTAACCACATGGATCGAGGGCACAATGTGGGTTGAGACAATAGACTCACGTGTCTGAGATGGTTAGCTAAATCAGTATGTGTGTCTAACTATGTGTGTGTGTTAGTAGAAAGAGGGAGAGGAAAGCCGAACTCTAAAGCAAGGCACTTAGCTCTGCCGTAAGATGTAAGAACAGCTTCTCTATCATGTAAAAACTCTGCGTTTATAGCCACGTTTATAGAGTGATAGTTACAGTTCTAAGTCCTACTCACGGAGATGATTGAAACAAGAGAAAACAAAACCGAACAAAATAAAATAATCCCCAAAACAAAGCAGATCTTTATCACCGTGGTGAAACACAAATAATGCTTTCTTATCACCGCGAAACCTGGCCAGCGAATCGAGGTTCGGCCCGCCGTGGTTCTGGTCTTTAAAGTGATAAAATCACAATCTCCAAATCCACTAGCAGTGACTGATCTAATACAACACGGTTACAGTTGCAGAAAATACACAGTATAACGAGACTCAGCGGTCCGCGATGCTTGCACAATAACACGTTCTAAACACTACAGTAACTTAAACAAAACAAGCTAAAGGAATAACACACTAAATCACCTAAATTAAGCCCAGACACCAGATAAACTCTTACTATGAGAAGGTTTCTTTTGGTCGGATCGGTCCTTCGAGTGGGGAACTCCACTCGGTTGCGCAGCTCCAAGCATGGCTTAGTCAGCCACGAGGTCAGAGTCGGACCCCAACACTGTGTTTTCCTTAGTACAATTGACAAGGACAAGCAATGTCTCTCTCCCCCCCAACTTCACCTGACCCTTCCCAACAACAATAATACATTGTTAAGAAAAGACAAGATGGTCCAGGTAGTAGCCTACTCTCAATGCCATTCTTGTCTCAAAGTGATACTTTTGTTGGGGTATCTCTAATGCTGACATTTCTAAGGAATGAATCACTTCTATGCACAGCAGTACTGTGCAGCTGCTGTGCTGCTGACACGCTGTCAAAGTTTATTTTAACCAAGATTCTTGTCAAATCAACCATACTTAAGATAGTTAAAATTGTACCTCTTTGGGAAATTGATGAATTTATACTCCTCTCCTTATTTTGATTTTTTAGTTTTACATCTAAGACAAAGTCTGTTTTTGCCATCAATCTGATGAGTAAAGGTTACTCCTGGACCACACAATATATATATTTTTTTTATTTCGTCAGATGGGTGAACTGAGAAATACTTCAGTGTGGTGTCAGAGGATTTCATCCAGCAGTGTATACAACCTGCAATGAACCCTACCTCATGCCTTAAGAGGCTGCCAGCTTTTTATTTTCCTGTGAGGGTCTCAGTGCGGTTTCAGAATTTTTACTCCAAGCTGAGAGGGAATTGCTGAATATGTTGCGATGTGAAAATTATTGATTAATCTCATCCATCAGAGCTCCAGTACAAAACTATGATCACCTATCTTCAAAAACATATATTGGTTGAAGCCTATTTCACACCGTGATGGCCAGCCGTGACCCCGTCCCGGTCTCTCCAACTGCTCTAACTTTTCTAACCGTGCGTTTGTCTCCTGTGCCCAGAGGGTTGTCCAGGTCTCTGCAACAACAATGGACGGTGCACTCTGGAGGCCAGCGGCTGGCACTGCATATGCCAATCAGGATGGAGAGGGGCGGGATGTCACGTGGCCATGGAAACACTCTGTACCGACAGCAAGGACAACGAAGGAGGTATATTTGTGTTCATGATATACTGTAGATAACCCAGTTTATTTGTTGGATGGATAGACGGATGGATGGATAGGATGGGGTGTTCAGGAACGAGTCTCGTCTTAAAACCCTAGTCTAGCTTTTGTTTTAAAGTCACTTGCATTTAAAATGGTAGCCCAACAGTTATTACATCCACATAATGTAGAGAGTCCCGGAGACATCAGCGTATGGATGATCATATATAAAAAGCTATGCCATCATTTTATGCTCCCCCTTCAAAAAATAAATATTCATTTGCAGCAACCAATCAACCAAATCTACATTCTGACTTGACTCACAGTAAGACAACAAAAGTCAATACAGGCATTAGCTTAAGTATGGGATCTATCAGAGGTTTGTTGACTTTAGACTCGTCTTGACAAGATCAAAAAAGACTGTCAACTCGACTTGAGACTGCAAGAGTGACGTTACTTGGACCTGAGCCTTTTGACTTGAAAATACATGATACCCCCCCAATTCCAAAGATAAAAAAATGTGTTATTTTTAAAGTGTGCCATAAATTCATTTATTTCCTGAATCAACTAATATTAACGCTTTTCATTCCCGGCAAGTCAACGCTTAATTCCCCAGATCCTTTTTTATTAAATTCGATCACACTCATTTTTGACAAATAAATTCAAATTTCAAAAAGCATTGATGATATATTTGAGGGTTTGTTTTTCAAATACTTCAAGGGATTCTTATCCAAAATGTTTGTTTATGTTATGTGTTCTGTTGACATATAAAAGCCAATACATCATTATCTGATTTATTAAAAAAATTTTGCTTAAGCAGTCCAGTATCAATTTTGGGTCTACTGTTGATTATCTAAAAGGAATGAAACGCATAAATTGAAATAATTAAGTGGCTAATCTGCCACCTGCTGAGAGCTGCACATTGATGTGTAGTGTACCTGCAGTGGTTGTTCACTTACTGTACCTACAAACTGCAGCTCCTCAGCTCCTGTCGTAATCCTTGGGGGAATACTGGAACCTTGGAATCAAAAAAAATGCGATAGAATTAGTTAGAAATGTGTTTTAAATCTTGGGTCAGAAACATTGGAGAAACCAGCAAGAGTTAACTAGGTTTTTAAAATGGTCCAACCAAAAAAACGCAGCCCAGTGTTGCCAGCAGCACTAGCTCCAAAAGTCACTAGATTTAACAGGGAAAGTCGCCAAACCAGCAACGCTTGACAGCCGGTCCCGTCATGCCTCCCTCTAAAGCCACTCCCCCAAAATTATCATTATGAACGTAAACAAAGAACATGAACTTTTGTAAGTACTCATAGCTGAAACAGTGATAACAACTAATTATGCGGCTATTGTCCAACAAAAAGCAGATGGCAGTGATTTGCTGAAGCCCTTATAATTGAGGGGTGATTATTTACCGTGGTAGAAGTTTTGGTCCGGCTGCTCTTTGTGGATGAGTCGGTTGCAGACTTGCGTATTCTGTGGGATGTTGAGTTTTAAGATGAGACCAGAGATTTGTGGTGTTTTCATCTTCAGTCCTGATTTGTTTATGGCAGAGCTTGCACATCACTTCGTTCACGTTTTCAGGCTCTCCTTTTTTGTTTGGTTTAAAAACCAAAGAAACGTTAAATAGCCGTATTTGAACATCTTTCCTGCTGGAGTTGGGGCTACAAGTGTAATTACTAGGGCTGTACCGAATAGTGAAAGATTCATTCAAAATGTTGACATTCAAATTATTATTATTAAAAAAGTACAGACAAATTGCGTGCAACAGTCCACCGGCTTCCACCTTCTATTCCCCTCTCTCTCCCACACAGACACACACACACACACACAGCACTGGGCCCCCATCTCTGTAATTATCTCAATATTTATTCCAAAAGTCAAATTTATTGAAAAAAAGATGTGTGTAATCAATTCTGAAATTCACAACATGTCTAGCAAACTATTGTGCTTCAATCCATATTTTCACATTTGTTTTTACTCTCCCGCACGCACCTGTATTAACGAGGCGGTCCAGCAGCAATCTAACAGCACCATGAATTACACATCATATAACCACAGTAACACAAAACCAGACGTATGCTAGTATGTTGTCACTTTTTTAAATACAATGTGGGGAAGCACAGAGAAAGCAAGAGAAGGAGACTGAATACAGCCCACAATTCATAACAGGCGTTGCCTATTTAGTAGTGGATACCTGAGCGTCGTTATCGTGGCCAACCAATATCTTGTTGCACAACAATCTCAGCATATCATCCAAATTTAGATACCAGATGTTTTTGTCTAAGCATTATATTTGTTGATTACTGTCAGGATTAACAGAGAATTTCAACCAATTTAAAAATGGTTTCCAAGATACGATGCCAACCCGAGCCTTACCAGCACAAAACATCAGCTATCAGCTAGGGTTGATGAGCGCAGTGAGGTAATTGGAAAGGTAGAGAGGAAAGAAGATGAGAAAGAAAAGAAAACAAGACAGAAGATTCAGAGAGAAGGGAGGGATCACTTTGTCTGTGTGTGTGTTCAGGTGTGTAGGTGTGTGTGTGCGCGCGTGTAGGTGTGTGTGTGTGTAATGGCAGTCCCTGGTGCCTGTTCACCAGATGTACAACGGCTTTTATAAACTAACAGAGACAAATGGCTGCCCATATTTTATTACCTTACATACCTCCTTCTATCCTTCCATCTCTCCATCTGTCTCTCTGCTCCACGCCTCCTCCTTCTCCCTGTCCTTCACTTATCCCTCCCTCCCTAATCTCTCTTTCTCCATCATTCCATCCCTGCTTCTCATCATTGCAGCCCTCCATCCTTCTTCCTTCAATCCTTAACTCCTCCTTGACTTTATTTCTCTTGGCAGCACCTAATAAACACATACTGCTCACATACTAATTATACTGCATCGCTCCATTTTTCCGTCATTCATCAATTTCTTCTTTTTACCCCCTCATCGAAAAATGTTCTTCTCTTTAATGCCACGACACGTTGATCCATCCACTTATGATCATCTGTACATTTTCACTTTTTTTCTCTTTTCATTACATTTTCTCCATCTCTGCCTTTATTTTTAATTTATTTCATTCATGTTTGAATTATCTTATTTAGAGAACACAGTATCTCACTTGTCCTCTCTTCTTCCCCAATTCTTAATGGTATATGTGGCCATCCTCTCCATCCATCAACCTCCATCTTTATCTCTTTTTCATGCCTTCATCATTACCACTTGATTCCTCTGTCCTTATTATTCTTAATCTCTTCATCATCCTTCATTGCTTCTTAATCCCTCTGTTGCCTGCTTGTCCCTGCATTCATCCATCCATATCCTGTTTTCATCCCTCTGTCCTCCTTTCATCCACCTGTAACTTTTCCATCATCCATTTGATTTTCAGGTTTGTATCCTCGCCTCTCAGGTTTCTGAATATAATAATTTTGTGTGTATTTCAGATGGCTTGACTGACTGTATGGACCCAGACTGCTGTTTGCAGCCCTCCTGTCAGAACCAGTTATACTGCAAAGGGTCACCGGACCCGGGGGAGGTGCTCAGCCAGTCTCCGTCCCCATTGGCTCCTCAGCAAGTAAGAAGCTCCAATCAGAAATTAAGTCAAAATAAAAACTTAACTGTCATTTCTTGTAACAAAAGGAAGCAGCATTTGTCTATATATGTGTGTCCTTTTATTTTCCCTTAGGCTGCCAGGTCTTTCTACCAGCGCATCCATTTCTTAGTTGGTCCTGAATCCACTCACATCATCACTGGAGACAGCCCGTTCAATAAAAGGTAACGGTGTCTCTCTCTGTGTTGTTGTTTTCTTCTGGGCATACAGTAACATCAGCAGGGCAGCATGAGTGTCAGACAGGTTGTTAGTAAATCCACATTTTAATCCTGCATTTCAAACCATGAGACGAAAGCACTCGTTTGTTGTCAACATCTAGTAGGTTTTGCAGCGCTAGGTCCTGTGCACCGTTTTTCAATGCAGTGGACTCTGGAAGTGTTAAATGTGTTCTTCTTTGTTTTCACATCTGCGCTCAACACTCACTTTTAAAAGAGGCATCAGCTTGTGGTTACCAAAACTTAAAATTTGATTGCCATTATTTGCCACCTTAAATTTTGAGTAATTAAGATACCATGCAGTTATATGGCATAAAATAATAAAAGCTTTATTACAGTCCACCAAACAAAATTCTAGTTTCTTTGTAGTTAACGAGATGTCAACTGATAAAAGTTAAGATTCTAATTCACCCTCAAGTCCTACTATAGAAAATTGTCTGTACAAATTGTCCTTAAAACAGATGCCTGTGTGCACGCAAGTAAACGCACCAACGCACCTCCAGCATTGTCTGCTTCTGGTTCCGAATGTCGCAACAATATTTAAATATCACTAATACTAAAAACATTACATATTCATTTATTTTGGGGTGCAGGTTTAGCTTTTTGCTGTCTCTTTTTTATTCTTGGCCTTTGGTTGCCACAATTTCTCAAAATGGTTTTCCCATTGTAACCAAGCAACTGTTAGTGGAGCACTGATCCAAACAACTTGACCGCATGATAAAGATATTGTGAGTGAAATGTAATAGACATCAAGACTGATGCTCCAAAAAGAAGATATTCTTGTATTTGTATTCTTTAATATAAGGTATGAAACAAATTTGAGCAGTTTCAGGCATCTGTTACGTGCTTTACTGAAAGGCAGTTCTTTAAACACATTTCATCATAATGGGATCATTCATATTTTTTTTCTTTCTGTCGTGGTGATTGTTTGACTCATTCTTCTGCCTGCAGGTCATAGCTCACCCTACTTATATTTACCATAGTATGAGCAGTTGACTCTGCTTTCTGTCTGGATGAATAGAACAGAAAAAGTGTGAGTGAGAGAGAGTTCACAGTACAGGTTTGCTTTTTTTTTTTACTTACCAAAAGCCATTGATGCACACGTCTGCCTCAGACATAACATTCATAATACAGAGGCAGGGCCACTGTCAGGAAAGAAACATGACGGCAATTCTGTTCAGCCGTTTGTCTTTTGTCACATTTTTTATGGTAGTCTGAATGTTTCATAAGAGCAGAAGGCCACAACCCTGTAATATAAATGTCCTGTATTTCCATAATGGAATGGGCCTGCAACCTTACAATATATAAATGTTTTATTAGACCTTAGACCAAAACAGTAGTGTGTGGGGGCGGGGGGTTCACACTTTAAAAGACAAAGAAACGATCTTTTAATTTCCCTTGAGCTAACATTGACAAACATATACTCACATTATACTTATAGAGGGACACAAACATACACGGTGGCACATAGTGTATGCACATATGCAGAGGCATCATTTGCATGCACACCTTTACAGGAGTACACATACAGACGGTTTTCTGTGGACATAATCAGTATGATGCACAATGACTGACAGCTTATTAAGAGCTCAACGTTCTTTTTGTGACTTCAACTGCATGAATAGCAGATTTTACGAGTCCAAATCCAGACTTTCTAATTGGCTATTAGCTCTAGCGATCTAGTCAGGACCCTGGATTTCGATAAGCTGGTGGATGGTTTTACACTGAAAAAATGCAAGAGCTCAGAAGAAGAAAATCCCAATCAGGTGTGCAGAATTTATTTTCCGATGCTGTCTGGCTGATTGATAACACGTATTATATCTTATATTCACATAGTTTTACATACAGTAAGTGAATCTGCCTGTTTAAACTGCAGTATTCTAATATAAGGTTCTGTACTATTGCAACACGTCTGGCACACACGTTTTACAGTGTAGGGGCTATTTTGATGGTAGCCCCTACCATCAAGGTTATTTGCTACTTCAATAAGTAAAGAAAAGTTTTCAATGAGTAAAAGAATACAGCAAACATTGTACGCGTAAGTGATGCGATTGGGACCTGTTAACATCCTTGTGTGGTTTGTTTCGTCCCTGTATGAAAACAGCTGTGTTTTCATACAGGACGTGCTTTTAATCCATGCTGCCTGCTGATGGTTTAGGACTCACACAGGTCCCTGCAAGAGCTACGTTTTTCGGGGTTCCAGTCATTGAAAACATGGAAAATAAGAGAAAAAAATAAGAAAAGGTTGCACTGCACAACCCGAAAGCGTAAATTACTTTATGGTTGGACTGTTAGATGAGGCAGATTCTGGTCAGTTTTAAACTAACATGTGATCCAGTCTGTATCTGATGAGATGAGAATCTCTTCCTAACCAGATATAATCAATATATTTTAATTTCTATTATGTTGTAATCATTATTGTCGTATGAGATCTCTGCCCACAGAAACAATACCATTGTCTTTTGGTCAGACTTTACTCCACAAGCTGTAAAACCTGCAATAGATTCTGGCTGACTTCATTTCATTAGTCCCATTTTTCATTTGTTTGGTGAGATCGATGATGAACTAAATACTGTTTCTGAGGAGTTTTCTTCCTCATGGGTACTGAATAATAGGACTTTTGTGAACTGGTCAGATTTAAAGCTATTCTCAATACAATACTTGTCAACTATTAGATCTCCTAATAAACACCAACATCTATATGTTTTAGTTCATATTAATAAATCATGACATTTGATATTTTGAGGGTAAATGGTTCTGAAGTTATTGACCAAAATAGAAAAATATTGTTGTATTGTAAACATCATAACATACGTTAAACATGGAGAAGTACAGGCCTAAAGGTTAGAGCAGCAAGCTTGTGAAGGTTGTTGGTTAAATCCCCTGGGCCGACAGGATTAATTCTCAAACCTCTCAACATACAGTATAAGGCTGGTTTTGTAATGTGTAAATGACCAGGGCTTCCTGAAAAAGACAGCATTGCTCTCAGTGGAACTCTACCATAAATAAGTAAAAGTGGAAAAATAATCATAGGTAAAGAAGAAAGGTAATTCAAATTGAGTTAAATTGAATGTAGCTGCTGAGAGCAGTGCTGTGGTGTAAATATGCATTTCAGTGTGATGAGGATGTGCAGGCATGCTATGAGTGTAGCAGTAACATCAGTATCCTGTTACAGTGCTCCCACAGGTCAGCAGTTACCTCCACAGTTGTTGTTTCAAGTGATGTCTCACTGCACTCTGCCATTCCTCTCACAGGGAGTAACAAACAGTGAGGATGAGAAAGGCAGTGATTTCTCTGAGTGGTAGTATGCGAGTGTATTATTGTATGTCAGGTCCTAGAAAGTTGTCTAGCACTGGTTTAGCCCAACCACAGGGACTCGGGTCAAAGACACGTGGTGGTATTTCCTCCCCATGATGGCTAAGTTTTCTCAATTTGTTACAGTAACATATAACAATTATAAATGATGAATAGTGCAGTTTTAATAAAGATAACCTCTCTACCATCTCTCTCTCTCCAGCTTGGTGTCGATAATTCGAGGTCAGGTGTTGACAGCTGACGGAACTCCTCTGATTGGAGTCAATGTGACGTTTGTCCACTATGCTGAACATGGATACACTGTAACACGCAAGGATGGCATGTGTGTGATTATTTATTATTTATATGTATATACAATATTTGTAAACTTCTATTATATATGTACGTTAAAAATGAGACACTTCTTATAACAAAAAATGGTTCTTATATCCCTGCAACGCTGTTCTCTATCCATTCATATCCTGTTGACATACAGGCCAAAAAAAACATCAAACTGTGTATCACTTGTATGTACTTGTGTGGTACATGTATAGTACCACTGACTGAGAAGCATAAATGATCCTGACGATCATGATATAATAATAAATCGTGAATTGTAACTTAAGTAGAGTAGCATTTAGAAGGGATGAACTTAACAAACATTTTGTAGCAAAACCTTCCTTAAACAACCTATTTATTAACATATTTACTTCATTTTTTAGGCAAACAGAAATAAAACAATATTAATCAACAAATAAATCATTCAATCTTTGAGAAAATGCTGAGATTACCTCATATTTGTATAGCACTTAACAAATTGCACAAAACACCAGTTCAGCAAAACAAAGGGAACGTACTTAAATCACATTTAATGTATTCTGCTCGGCCCCTCCATCCTCTATAGGCTCTATCCTCAATCTCAAGCACGTCGGCTGTAGAGGTGTGAATGTGTGCAGGAGTAGAAATCTCCTGCACACAGGAGATTGCGTTGGAAATGTGTTGGAATCAAAAGGATGCATCAATCGCAGCAGAACACACACTCCAGTACACACACACATACACACAGAAGCACACAGAGAACAAAAGACATGCAAAGACTCACTCACCCACGCTCAACAACATATGGATAAGATAGACCTATATTTATCCCAAGGGAAATCGTTGTGCAGCAGTTGCAGTAGAAAGTAGGAAAGAGTGCAAATATAAAGAGAACAAAAATATCAAGAAATGAAAATATCAAGAAACAGATATGTATAAAAAACAAGGTTAACATTAAGGGTCCAAAATGATATACAAGGTTAACGTTAGGGGCTAAAAATATAAACATGGTTAACAATAAGGGCCCAAATTATAAACGAGGTTAGCAATAAGGAGCAAAAATATAAACAAGGTTAACAATAAGGGCCAAAAATATAAACAAGTTACAATAAGGGCCAAAAATATAAACAAGTTACAATAATGGCCAAAAACATAAAGAAGGTCAGCGATAAGGGCCAGAAATATAAACAAGGTTAACAGTAAGGGCACTAGCACTTACAGTTCATACGTATTTGTATTTTGTGATGTGCTGCAGGTTCGATCTCCTGGCCAATGGTGGGGCATCCCTAACACTGAGTTTTGAGCGTGCTCCCTTCCTCACGCAGTACAGAACCGTGTGGGTGCCATGGAATGTCTTCTATGTGATGGACACACTGGTCATGAAGAAGGTGAGCCGTGTCACTGTTGTCTGTCTAGATATTTGTCTGACATCACAGAGTCATGGACTGATGAGTGCCTGACAGAAACTACACTTTTATATATTTCAGTTACTTAAAACACCATTTTGAAGCTTTTGTCTTTTTGATGTTTTCCACTGACTTGAATTTGAATTTGTTACTGACATAATTATTTGATTACCTCATGGAGCAAGATGAAATTCTTAGCTGTGGTCAAGTTATTTTAATGACTTGTACACTAAATGACACTGACTCACTGGCTGACTATGTATGTGACTAATGAACTCTTTGTTTCTCAGTCAATGAGAAGACTAAATGTCACACGTTATGTCCAACTGTTTCAGGAGGAGAATGACATTCCTAGCTGTGACCTGAGTGGCTTTATCAGACCCAGTCCTGTCATCGTTGCATCTCCTCTTTCTACGTTTTACAGAAGTTCAACTGAGGATGGCCCCATCATACCTGAAACACAGGTAAGGAATCCCACAGAGGAGGCCTAACGACACCAATATCCAAAGCCAATATGTACGCTGTTGATAAAAATACGATCTCAGCCTGTTAGAATGGTCATTCTGTCATGGTTAGTTGAGTTAAAAAAGTAATTGGAAAGTATCAGCATACATGAGGTATCAGCCGAAAGTATCAATCATTAAGGCATTCATTTAGTTCAATGCCTCTCTCTTCTGCAGATATAACTCAAATATGATCATGCAGATACAATACACATATTTTAAATTCAGTGTGACATACACTTGCTGGGTCCATCACAAACAAATGTTCATATATCCAATCAGAAATCATAAAAAAGATACTCCTGATCAGTCCAGAACTTGCTTGAGAATAATCATTTTTTTCTCATGATAGCTAGGAAAACAGAGCTGCTAATGGCTAATTCAGAATACTTTCAATGATGTCAATCTACCCAAATGTAAACTAATGTCGGATAAACGAAGAAGGGCTTAAGTTGCCCACAGCGTTCCTCAGTGACTGCATGGCAACGTAATACTTCTTGTATACAGCCCGCATAGCATCATGGGAGCTGTTGTTCGAAAAGTTATTATCCCTCAAGTAGAAGAAAGAGAAAGAAGTAGTGTATTATATTTTAATATTCAGCACATATACACCAACTTATCCCTGGACTGTATAAGAATAACATCTGGTAAGATTGAGCCCTCATCTCAAACTGTGTGATTTATTTCATGAGATGACAGCTCCAATTGGCATAATGCTTAAAATTAGTCAATAAGTGATGCAGATTAGGTCGAATTATAGAAATATAGTGCATAACTCCTTTTTTCCTCTTAAACCAGATGAGGCCAGTCCCCAAATCTTCTGAATAAAATAAAAATTAAAAAAATTGTAGTTGTATACTCTCTTACTCTCTATAGCACTCAGACTAGCACATTCAACACCATTAACATGATATGAAGGCTAGCTGTCAGAGAAACTGCTAAATGCTAACACATTTAAAAGGTTTTGTCCTGGACAGACACACACACACACACATAGCCCCACCCTGTGTCCTGCCTCTAATTTCCCATAAGGCTAATAGCACATTTGTGTGGTTCTTTATTGTCACGTTGCTTTAACCACTACTCAGAGAAAATGAAACGGATGACAGAACTCCATGTGTGTTTTTATACTTTTACAATCCTGAACCAGGATGCTATTATTATTTTTTATTTGACAAGCATGTGTGTATGCGCCTGACTATCTGCGATGAAGGGAAAAAGTGTGTGGATGAAGGAAAGCGTGTGTGTGTGTGTGTGTGTGTGTGTGTGTGTGTGTGTGTGTGTGTGTGTGTGTGTGTGTGTGTGTGTGTGCAGATCAAAAGCAAATGAATGGAAAGCCGCTACTTAGCTTTTGGTGGAGCTGAGTCCATTAGTGAGGAGGGCAGAGAAAAGGGCAGTCTTAAAGGGGATGTAATGGATCTGTAATGAACACTAAATGCCTGGCTAATGAAAAGGCAATAGTGCAGTTGAAAAATATAACACAGGAACACTCTAAATGGATCATTCCCTGAGGAGCTTTGTTTTTCTTCTTTCATTTTTGTATTCTTTGATATTTCTTCCCAATCTTCACTTTTGTGGAGTCCACACAATTCATCACAGGTCTTCCTTATCCCTTCAAGATGTCTAAAATGGGAATAAATTAAAATGTATTTGAGTTTCTGAACTTCGAATGTTTGTATTTTTTCTCCAGCCAAACCGTTAGTGGAATAAGCAAACCCTCAACCCGATCTGAGGGTGGTGGGAAAGGAAACCAAAGCACCTTAAAAAAAAGAACAATTTCCATGCAGTGGAAAATCAGTAGTAGCACTTGAACACTTTGTGCCACTAATGACACACTTCAACCCTTGTGTGTTCTTTTATATCATGTAACTTTCTTGGAAATGCAGGACTGCAGAGTAGCTTTGGCCATCATTTCTACGGGTAATAATGACATTGCACTCAAGAAGTTAATTGCTGACATCTGGAAGCACAGCGACATCTCTAAAACCCTACTTGCCGGCGGGGCAAATAGGGTTGCGTGGTTTTTTTATTTCTCACAACAACCATATTGGCATAGTTTGTCACCCAAAAAACTACATGAACGTTCTAGTAAACAAATGCACCGTGCGCCTCGTCTCCCTCCCACCTCCACTGAAATTGGATCTCCTTCAAGTTGCTGGCCTCAGCTCGGCAGTAAATTACACACGGCCTGTCAGACACTAGTGGCTCCATTAGTCTGTTCATAAACAAACATGACATTACGTTAAGCACGTTGTCATATTGCTCAATACTAATGTATTACACATTGGATTTAGCACAGAGAAGCTGTCGGCACATGTTGCTGATGTCGGCTAACTTTTAATTTGCCAAATCGTGTCATTATGACATATACTGGTTTAGCCAGTTTGCATAAAATGAAAACGGTGTGAGCTCATACACCTGACCCCACCAGTGTAATCGGAAATTGAGCCAACTCTACGGGCAAGAAACACAAACATATAGGTTATCAGCAAGGTTGTTAACAAACCCTCAGGTCAGCTAAACCCCTTTGGAAGAGAACATTAAACATTTTTCCTAAACTGTCTAGGTCAGGGTTCGATAAACTGTTTTGAGTGGGGGCCAAACAAAGAAAAATATAAGTCATGGGCCTAACAATAGTGAGTGCATAGTTTTCAACCAGTTACACTGCAAGAAGATCAGTGTTTCTAAGCCAGAACACCCCATGTATCAGTGTATGAAGTACTGATGCTTAGCTTCATAGTGTCTTCTAACGATATACTCATTCATCACCGCAACAGATTCTATGCAAATGACGCAAACACACTTCCCCTGGACTTCTGTGTAAAAGTACAAGTTTTTCGTTTTCTGAAATTTTGGGCACTCGGTCTCTATCTTCCGGCTTTTTGGTTCTGCCATGTTTACTTAATCATCTGAGTTAAATGTTTTCATCGACCAGTTATCAATGTAAGTCAAGTATTCGTTGGTAATGTCAGAGACATCTATTGTTCAAACTAACAAGCTCAATGTACATACAGTGTGATTTGTTAGAAAAAGGCTATGCTCAAGACATACAGTATTCTAGTTTATTTTGAAAATAATCACAGCGGGCCATTTCAAAACGAGCAGCGGTCAGTCGGCCACTGACTCACTACTTCAACTTTGACCTACTGTGCTTGCTATAGGTGTGCATGCACATAGGTTCCCTGTGCAATGATGTATGCTGGCAGTTTTGCACATTATACTTTTGGTTTCCCTGGAAATAAATGAGGTAATCCGGATTACAACCCATTTTACTGTTTGTGTAACTTGAACCTTCATGTCTCAGCAATTCATTTTGTGAGTACATTATTATCATAACTGATAGAAGTAATGGACAAATATATGATAAGAATACCAAAAGAACTCTTCATACTTGATGGATTTTCAAGATGAAATGTCTTTCTTGCTCTCTCTGTGATTTTGCCAGTCTGATGGCATGCTGCTACCCTCACTCTCCACCAGCAGCTCTGTGCCATCCCACTGTTGACACTCAGTGATCATCAGTGATGTTGAGACATGTCGCGTGTCCTCTGCTTTGTGGCTTACCTTGCTCAGGTTCAACACAAGGACACAGAGATAGATAAAATAGATAAAAACACTTGCATTCATATACCTGCCTAGATGATAAGCATACTCAAACACACGTACACCTGTAAATGAATTCCTTCAATCATTTTTTCCTCTCTTCTCTCTAACAAGCAGAGAAAGAGCAAAGGATATGTGTCATCTGAGAGTGAGCAGGGAGCGAAGTGGCAGATTTGAAACTAAAAACGGTGTCTCACTGTGAGTTTTAAAAGGTCATGGAGGTGTCAATATGCATGTTTGTGTGTGTTCTGATCTGAATCAGAGCAGTCCTGCTGCTCGTCCTTCACTTGCAAGTCTTCCTAATAGAATATGCACATTAAGATGATGTCCTCCAAAGATGTAACAGAGGCGATGTGGACTTTTAGATGCGTAAGCACCCCCTCAGGTTTGGAGACATCACTTGAAACAATGTGCAGCCAGACTTCGTTAGCAGCTGCTTTACCATGTTCTCACACAGCAGGGACTAGGACACAGCTATCTTTGATTATTTCTGTTATTTTGAGGAGCTGTAGCTCGTGGCCAAAACATTGACAAGTGTAATCATTCACTCACTCAATGGTAGACCTTGTCAGAATACAACGCAGCCTCAGATCCGCCTTGTCTGGCAGATCAATTTTGATCCAATATGATTCCTTCCCCGCACAGACTCAATACTATCTATGTGATGCCACTACTGGCAGTACCTAATAGTGAAAGTGTATTCTTCATTATTTTGTTGGAGATACAAAATTAGGCTCATAGGTATTGTTGTCAGCAATGAACTTAACTCTATGTGATCCAGTTTAATTTAGAAAGTGCCAGTACAGGTATTTTGCCAAATTGTGATCATTTCGATTAAGTATTACAGCATTTTTTCTTCGTAGTGATTAAAAAGGGGGATATTGGGGGGCGCATTATGGTTCTGATAAGACAAATTGTTTTGTAAAGCCAAATCCTGCTTAAAACTGTTTCTGATAACCATATCACCCAGCTCTAACACATACATTTAACTGTATTGAGTCAAACAGTAGCCAGGCTCTTAAATATGCACACCTGTCATGGTCCCAGATGGTTGCTTGTTTTCTCTCCTCCGAGCTGCGAGCCAATTAGCAGTCCATTCCCCTACAAATATGATGCTTCGAGACAGTAAGCTAGTGTTGGGTGCTGATGTATTTTCTGTGTTACTCTGCAGGTTTTACAGGAAGAAACCTCAATACCAGGCAGCGATCTAAACCTAATCTACCTGAGCTCCAGAGCAGCGGGGTATAAACCGATCCTCAAAGTCACCATGACGCAGTCATCAATACCTTTCAACCTGATGAAGGTAAGATATGTAATGTACATTGCGGCCGCCATCTGCAGCGTTCTCCCTCATATCAATGGAACCCTAACCTGAACTACCATTCGGTGACCTTTGTGTCTGGTGCTGTTTCTCCAGGTTCACCTGATGGTGGCAGTGGTGGGACGCCTTTTCCAGAAGTGGTTCCCCGCCCAACCAAATCTCTCCTACACCTTCATCTGGGACAAGACGGATGCCTATGGCCAACGCGTCTATGGACTGTCCGAGGCAGTTGGTGAGTTTGCTGTTAATAGCAAAGTTAAAATAAAATAACATAACATAAACCTTTTAAAAGTGTGCACTGTTTTGACCTGACAGTCAGTGTTTTGAAAGGCTGTTCCAAAACAACAACAACAAAAACATGATCACCTTGGATTTTCAACCTTGACTTGGAGCAGCCAGAGGCACCTGCTCTGAGAACCTGAGGCTCTCTCCTCTTTTAGTACAGAGGGGCCTGACTATGAAATGCCTTCATGTCGAGAGTGAAATTTAAAAACACTCCTGAAGTTGATGGGGAGCCAGGCTAATTAACTGCAATGTATGATCTGAAACACGTTCGCGTGTAAAGCCTCACAGCAGACTTCTATAGACAAGTATGCCAGCTCTCTTTTCACAACAGAGAATGGAAATGCAATAGCAACTGTGGTTTCCCTAATGATTTTACAATTAACTCACTTTGTTTTTATGAAATAATGGGAGCAGAAGCCTGGAGGTTAAGTGTTGTTATGACCTGAAGGTCACTGGTTAGAATCCCTGGCCTTGCTACGATAATATGGCTGAACACCGTAAATGAGTACCTCTCGCTCTCTCTCTCGCTCTCTCTCTCTCTCTTGCTCTCTCTCTCGCTCTCTCTCTCTCTCTCTCTCTTGCTCTCTCTCTCTCTCTTGCTCTCTCTCTCGCTCTCTCTACCTCCGTATCTGCGTTTATTTGGAGCATTGGTTGTGTGTGATGTCAGAAATGAAGGTTACTGGTCTGCTTTGGCTTCACTTATCAGAATTTGTGTTTGTCTCCTGGATGTGAAGCAGGCAAGTATAACATCAATGCTGCTTGGATTGTAGCCAGCCGCCTGTGCAAACAAGTTCATGTTCATACTTGAATGAATTGAGATATTCCTGGCGACAAATTTACAGTGAAATGAGGAGAAAATGTCTGAACCGCTACGTTAATCTGGTCAATGCAACTGTTACCCTCTCAGTAGCCCAGGGGAGGAAGATCTTTAGAAATTATAAAAATAGTGTATGACACAGATGGAGAGAAAATGTATACAACAATTAAATTGCACCAATTCAACACAAAGTAAGTCCTGGTCTGCACTCACTATTAAAGTATGACAACTTACTGTACACAGTTCCTGTGGAGAGGAGGGAATTCCTGTAGTGCTGACTTGTCCTGAACACACACAAAGCTGCACAATTACAGCTAAGTTCAAAAAAGGTCTGCAGAAAGGCTTTAACAGGGAAATGGCTTAGACATAATGGGTATGCTAACCCCTCTGACACCTTTATGAGGGACAAGTCCAGCATGCGTACTCCTCGCTGAGTTATTACTTATGCTAGCCCAGCTTAATGGGTTGACCATCAAGACAATGTACTGCTACATTTTGAAACACTTGTCAAATTGGTGCTCATAAGTTAAAATAAGGAAGCCTAACCATAAGAATATTTGGTCTGGCAATTGTTAAAACCGAGGTTGAATTTATTGGAAGAACTGTGCATCAAACATTAGCTATGAACTGATTTTAGACCAGAACACACCAGCCCTTCCTCTTTGCCCCTCCATCAGCTCATTATTTGCTTATGGGATATTTGCTAATTCCATTTTTGCCTCATTACCCAATAAAGCTGGAGTTGGTAGTCTTCAAGAAATGCTCTTTAAATCCAGACAGGAATCAATAAATCAATAACTCCTCTGACTGTAATAAGGCCATTCAGTCATTTCATATGGCCGGCATGAAAAGATTGGTGGTCTTGTCTACCTACGTGCACATACTATGGCCGTGCACTCATTGTGCTTCACCAAATTCTTACCAAGCTGCTAGCTTGACAGCTGAGTATTAACGATAGCCATGTTAGTTGTTTAAATTCATTATGTTAATTAGGGGGAGGGGCTTTGGAGGTAGGCCAAGATTTTGTGACTTTCATTGGAAAAGAGACAGCAACAATGGGCTGGGTTTTTCGGTTGGAGCATTAAGAAAATTCCAGCTTATCCTTGCTGTTTTCTTTAATGTTACCTACCCAAGTTTTAACATTTGGTAACCAAGCACCTATCACAGCTAAAAGGTTCTACATTTGTAATGTAGAACTGGATAATGCTTATCCTTAGGGTCTGCACCAGACGCCATCTGTTGCTTCTTTTAACTCGCAACTGAAAACCCACCTAAATAGATGAGCTTTTCCTGGTGCTTTGGAATGTGTTTATTATAAATGTTTGTTTTAATCTGTCCAGATATTTTATTGACTGTCTTATCTGCTTTGTAAAGTGTCTTTGGGTGACTTAATGTATTATTATTGTTATTGTACTGTCACCTCAAAATTAGTGAATTACTGTAAAATATATTTGTAGCATTTCTATTAGCCACATTCTGTGTATCACCAGTATTAGCTTTCCTTCACTCCTCCCCCTGAAGACCTTTGTCTCTTCTCAATTTAATACACACATCTCTTGTGGCTGCCAGTTCACACAATGCACTTGACAGAGCACAGCATTGTGTGTGTGTGTGTGTGTGTGTGTGTGTGTGTGTGTGTGTGTGTGTGCGTGCGTGTGCACTCAAACGTCCCATCCTAGAGTGTTGTACCTCACAGAGAAAGGCAGACAGGCCTGCCAAAAACTTTCTCAGTGCAAAGAAGAAAGTCGGAGTGTGTGATTGTGTGAGTGCGTGTTGTGTGTGTTGTACCAGAGAATGAAGGCCCTCAGTGATCCAGCAGCAGGAGTCAGTGGATGTTACAAATGTTACAAAGACTGTGTTTCGCCGTGTGTTCAAAGCTGAATCACAGCAGCTTTCCCATTTGGTTTGAACAGGAGCACAGTCAAAGGACAGAGAGGAGTAACTGGTCTTGCCCCTTGTGTGTTTATTAGTGTCGGTAGGGTTTGAATACGAGTCCTGCCTGGACCTCATCCTCTGGGAAAAGAGAACGGCCATTTTGCAAGGCTACGAGCTGGATGCATCGAACATGGGAGGATGGACGCTGGACAAACATCACATCCTGGACGTACAAAACGGTAGGTGCCATAACATGACAGAACCATAGCCTGCACTATTGTACTGCAGCTAGCTTTACATAGGCCGTGTTTATCAATACTTTTCAAGGAACTAAAACGTTCTTTCAGCCAATTGTCGTCTGTGTGGCAGTCTAAATACCTTGAGATTGAGGTGGGCTGCTGGTGGTCACAGTAGTGAACACACTGCGGCCTGTATTTCTGTGTGACCGACCGTTACATCTAAAAAAAATAAACCTTGGTTTTATCTCCCAAGCCTCCCATGTCTCTGTGATGACATTTGCTGCTGCATAGTATTTACTGATGCGTGTTGGATGTAATGAATGAAATGCAGAGTAGCTTCTGTCTCCACAGTAGATCTGTTGAATGTTTGATTGCTATTTATTTGAGCTTTAGAACAAAAAGCCATGACACAATCAGAAAATAACTTTTATATTCTCTAATTCACAGCACTGTCACTCTGTCTCTTTGTACCGCTCCGCGATCTCTCTCTCTCTTTCACTAGTCTCTGTTTAAAAGTGACAGTAAAGCTTAACTTTACTTTGATGTTATATGAATAAGGAGAAATGCTCATTCTAAAATGGTCCTAAATTGATACCAGATTACTTATTATATGAATGAAGTGGTACACGAGTTGAATCAGTGGCGCTGTGTGTGTTTCAAGAATGAAAGGTCAGTCCTGCAAACCCCACCCTGAAGTTTCCTGTACTTTCAGAAAGCACTTCCCCCCGACCAGGTTAAGAGTTTTCTTTTCTACATAAATGTGAAGCTCAAAATACAAAACATAGCCTCCCTTCTTATCTCTCCCTCTCTCTCCACATCATCAGTTATATGTGGAAGAAAGGGACAACGCTAATAGCAGTTTAAAAGTATGTTAATCTCAGCACTTGTCCAAATGATTGTTGTCATGCAGGCTTTGGTCCATGGAGCGGAGGAAAAGAGTTTAGTGATGTGTGTGTGTGTGTGTGTGAGTGTGTGTGTGTGTGTGTATGTTCCTCATTGGCGTCTTGGATTTGTTCCAGCTGCCCAGTGGTATTTTGCCAGCCTTTCATCTCTCTCTCTCTTTCTCTCTCACACACACACAATTTGGCTTTCTCATCTCATACAGTCAGTTCAGACTGTCACCAGTCCCTCCTCCTCGTCTCCTCCTCTGTCAACTCTTCTGTCTTTGCCTGCTTGTTTTTGTGTATTGTCATCTTATATGCCTTTATTATTATTGTAATTTCCTTTATTATTATTATTACATTTAGATAATGCAATGAAACCTCAGGGTTAAGATATGTTGACTGAATCGTATAAAGTACATTCCAGCTGGAAGGTACATCAGATTATATTGTTTGAGTGGGAAAACAAGATTTCTGGATTCTTGACAATTCTCCAACATGCTGTAATGTAAGACTTAATGCTGATGTTAATGTCCAACTAATAACTATAACTAATGACTTTTCCTTTGTCACTCAATCTTTTCACTAATTAGTATGACTAGTTAAAAAAAAGCAAGAATATGAAACACTTAATTTCAGTGTTGATATTGTTGACAAGAACAAGAATAAAAAAATTAATTAATATCCTTCATCTTAAAGTGCTAGTCACAAAATTAAGAATTTTCATGTCACAATCATTAAAAAGCAAAAGCAGCATGTGTTTACATTCAGTATACCTTCAGTAGCTAGTGTAGCATAGTGCTAACGCTAGTTCATGGTGTGCTAGCGTACTCTGCTAATGTTAGCTCAGAGTTTTTATGTAGAAACCTAACGTTTTAGAAATGTTTATCTCCTTCCAACCTCTCCAGGTAACAAGTATCACTATTACACAATGTTTAACCAGGGCTAGCTCCAAATCCACAAAACCAGTCTGAACGTGAATAAAACCTGAAATAATTGCTTGAGTCTATGGAGCAGAGCCCGGTAGCTCTCGGACCCTGGTCAGTGCTGGCCCAATGCTAGGCTATGATTGGCCAGGCTGAAATTTGAGGGGCTGGATTTAGCAAAGGGTCAATTGAGAGGCGTGCCTGAGTTGTAACTGATGAGTTGTCTGTATTTCCAGCAAATACTAAGACTTTTCAGCCAGTAATATCTATTTAAGCAAATCTCAATACACTTCCAAATCTGAGTACAGAATTTGAGTTTTTCTTTACACATTTACAAACACGCGGCTTCTAAAGACAGACTTGCAATTTTCCTGTACACATTCACAAACGCATTTAGAGATTCTTTTACACATTTACAAATCTAATCATGCACACAGATTGAGGTAGTTAGACAACTCTCCACACACATTTCCAAGTAGTTATGCTACAACAATGGCCCCATACCAGGTCTCCTTCACTAATTTCCACATGAGTATGAAGCATACAGCACAGTGTGAATACAGACCTTTCCTTTTTTAAATTCTCTGATAATGTGTGTTATAATCAGCTGGTTTGTGAAGGATACATCACTGTCACTCCTGTGCGGTTTACAGAATGACCTACAGGCATATTGATTGCCTTTATCTGAAGAGAGATTAATTTCCTTCAGATAGCTCACCTTTTCAATAACTGTTCCATGTAAGATAGATACATATTTAGAAAAATTCATTTTGCCGCTTTAAAGGCACTTTGACTTTACAAACCGCCCCCCCTCCTCTTCCTCCTCCCTTCCTTGCTGTCCTCTATCTGTCACCTCATCCATCACATTGCTATTCATCCCTCTCTCCCTGCAGTCCTCTTGGGCTTTCAACACCTTGTCACCCGATTCAGTGCGTGTATGTGTGCATTTAAAATGCTGGTGTGATTTGTGATTTCCTGTCTATATGTGCACTGGTCTCTGTGGGTGTGATGTTTTGTCTTGAAGGGACAACACTGCAACGCACAATGTGTGTTTGTCCTTTTGAGACGAAAAGACACCACATGGACTAGAATAATCTTGTCTTTGTGTGTGTTTGGGAGAGGGAGGGAGCATCAAACACTCCTGCTGTGCTTTCTTTGTAGTTTGTCTTGTAGCGCCACTAATGATGTGCATGGGATGATGAGTTAGATTTGGAAATATCATGCCTGTTCAGTGAGTGTTGACGTCGGGCAGCGATTTCATTGTTTCTGTGTTTTCATGTTTTGACAGGAAAGGTCAGCTACTTTCTTATTAACTGAATTTTTCTCTCCAAATTATAGCTTTATCTTCATATTAATCTTCAGATGAAGATGGCAGTGAGGCTGCTTTTTAAAATATTTTTATTGATTTGCTTTTGTTTACTGAACTATTCATTTAGTCCATTCAAGGACCAACAACAACTGGTAAGAGCTGGTCTTGGACCGTTTCCAAGCCAACCTTAGTGCCGTTCAAATGCAGTGAGAACATAATCCGACCCATCTGACCGCTCTTTAAGCGGCCCGCTGCTACTCCGTCTAGCAGTCCGAGCTACCATGGAGCCAACACTATCACTACCTGCACTCTCTGAAGAAATATGGTCTAAAAATGAAAAAGGGTTTTCAGAGAGAAGCAGACAGAAGGGTCTACAATATAGGATATGTTCAGGATGTCAAACTGATTCAGCTTTTAAAACGGGTTAAAAAGATAAAGATAGAAGTTGAATCTTACGGATCACAATATAGAAGTGAACCACCACATCACCTGGCAACAAATACAGAAGACAGATACATTAAGAAACAGTATTATTACTTTAAAGGTGGGTAGGGATTTATTCACTGTTACAGTCTTTAAATAGTAAAAGCAGCATGTGATTGGATGGTTTGTGTTTCAGGGGCGGGACTTAGCGAAGGGTCAATTGCACAAAGTAAACCAAAATGCAGGCGAGCTGCGTGGTGCCGAAAAGAACATACAGAATATGTTAAATAATGTTTAAAAAAATGTTTGTAGGATTTTGAGATAAACTGGAGGAGAAGAGGTTTATGCACACAATAGATCATTGCAAGTGAAAGTGAAACAGTGGACGGTATTTAGTATCGTAAATATAGGCATCCCACAACACTAATTCCTCTCTGTCTTTCCTATGAGGAATAGAAGTCTGTGGCTGTATCCGAAATCACTCACTACTCAATAGACTATGTAGTGAGTTCACCATATTGTAATGCGGTCCAAATGCACAGTAAGAATTATAAAACCCCATATAGTGGACTCAAAGCATCCCACAATGCATCTTGACAAGAAGTACACAATGATGATCACTAACACAGGCAACACCATCATGCGTTGCGCTAAAGGAAAAATGGCAGACGGACAAGAGGAGTGAGAGACAAATCCATGAGTTGTGGCAGGAAAATAATATATTCAATGTGAGCACAGCATCACAACACAAACACAAAGTATTTTCTATTTATTTATTGCTCTGGGAAAATACACCCCCACATTGACAACGGCAGAGTGAGCATATGCCATTACTCCTGCCGTTCATTTTCACAATAAAAGCCCCGGACATACGCTTTTGTGCAACAGCAATGACTTCATTAACGCCGCAGAGAAAATTACCCGAGTAATGGATGAAAATGTTTTTTCATTTAGCTGGTCAGCTCACTATATAGTCCTCTCTCTCTCTCTTAATATATATATATATATATATATACGTATATATACTGTATATATATAAACGTGAGTCCTCTACATTGAACTCCCTGGATAGGTAGTAAGCAGTCGTGAATGAGTGAGTGATTTCGGATAAAACCAATGTTATGTCAGTAAATCTGTGGTTTCAACTATGCAGTAATCCTGTATGTTGCTAATCCATCATTTCTACAAATGTCATGTTAAATGAAATCTTCAATCACCTTCAGCTTTTAAACAACAATCAGCTTCCCATGGAGGGTGCAATGAAGCCCTATAGGGGAGGAGTGACGAGTCCGAACATTGTTTCTTTTGATTCAGACAAACAGTATAAACAGCGGCATCTCCTAGTTATATATTTTTTTTTATACAATACTTCACAATTTGCGATTTTCACTTTATTCACCTTCATATAGCTGCATCAAATCAAAGGGAGTGCTGATTCTTATTGAACAACATAAACTAATAAATTGGCCGTTAGAGAGAAGAACGGAGGAAAAGAGACACACTGGAGTGGTGTGCAGGAGCTTGTCCGCACACAAACACACACACACACACACACACAGATGGACAAACAGACACACACACACCTGGTGTTGTGTGATCTGTAAGCACCGAGTAGTGAGCACTGCTGAACAACTCAGATAAGACTCGATGAAAGAGAGAGAGCAAGAGAGTGTGTGTGTGTTTATGTGTTGAGGGGTTTCAGGGGCAGAGGGGCTGCTTCCTTGTGCATGCTTTGTGAAAGTGTATTCTGTGTGTACTTGTGAGTTTGTGAAGCCCATGTTCGTCTATGTGTCCCTCTGCACACCAGTGTGTGTGCAGAGGGAGTGTGAGTGTGTAAGCTGCCCCGTGAAGCGCTGCACTCCATTATTCAGACACTAAGCAGCTCAGCCACAGTCGGGGTGCTTTACGCTTTGCTCCAGAGAACATGAGAAAGTGTTGCTTTTTATCACGACACAAGAAAATCAAAATGACTGAACTTAAAACAACTTTCCATTTTTGTGGGGGGTTTCTGACCATTGTCTTGATGCAAATCCTAAATTTAAGTGTTAAGTGAGTTGATTTTAGGACAGTAAACTTACAAACAAAATGGCCTTAACAAGTAAAAAGCAATTGTGAATGATGAAACTAAATAATGTAAGTACAATACCATCTAAAAATCAGCAATATATCTCCAGTTTACTGACTAAAATAAGTACAACAAAATTCTCATTTGATTGAGAAAAGAAATTGCATTTGGTATTGTTCAGTATAAGGAAAAGTTTTATGTTTTCATTTGTATTTTTGTATTTTGTATTGATCGTTAATGTTACCAACGATAGATCAAGGAAAGTGCTTAAAATTTGCAATCCTAATCAGAAGCATAATCATGAATAGAAAAAGAGCAGATGTACTATTGTACAACAATGTGAACAGTATGCAGACAATACAGTGGAAGGGAGATTGTATCAACATGGTTCATTAAAAAGACCTGAAATTAAAAAAGTCCTCTATGAACAAAAGTGGTCCTTGGCAATAGGAGCTGGTTGCTTCTGCTTCTTAATGAAGGTTCTGTGCAAAGGATGGTCGTCCCGGGACAGAACACTCCTGAGCTTCCTTCTGGCTCTCTGCTGGTCTCCAACAGAAATTCAGAGATTTTCATCAAATATATTTTTTTTCCAAATATGTGACAAACAAAACTGCAGTAAATATAATAAGAATATCGACAAAATATTCAGAACAGACTTTTCTTACAAATTAATTTCAGATGTCCTTGTTGACAGCAGAGATGAAGATAAAATCCATTTACTGGTACTGAATGAAGAGAAAATGGTTTTCAGACCTCAAAGATCTTCATTTGTCCTCGTCCATTAGGGACCATCTTTTGAAAATTCCACTGATTGGCTGAAGGCTGTTCTTCATACTGACCGGCAACCTACAGTCATTATTCACCTTGCTTCATGCATTATACACGCTGTGTGCATGTGTGTCAGTTAGTATTTGACTGCCTTCAACCCTTATTTATTCTATGGGTGTCTTGTCTGGTGTATGACTGAAGACTTATTTATCAATTAGATCCATTGTCAAGCAGTAGTTATTATCATAAGGATGTATGTGCACGAATGCTTCTGTGTGTTGGTTAACAGCCAGCTGTGTCGGGCTCGGGCACTGTTTGGCTGACCACACCTGAAGCTCTTGCAGCACAGTTGTGTCTAGTCTGCTGTTATCTGCAGCTGCTCAGACGTTTCACCTTGTTGAATCAGCAGCAGGAGCATTCAGTGATGGAGAGCAGTCAGACTAACCAATCTGTGATTTCACCATTCTGGTGCACTCCACACCTTCTTTCTTTCAGTGAACAAGCAGAAACCTGTGCTGTAAAAAACACATATTCTCAATTCCACCTCCAAGTTTTGTTTTGGATTATTTGGAACACCGTGTGTTCGAGTGAAACTTCTACCAAAGTTATGAGCCAAATCTTTGTGACCTTGTTGGCGTTAGGTTGTTGAGATCTGATCAGTGTGCCAGCCCTTAGTGGGTGTGGTAAGAATGTATGAATTACGGTTTTAAGATTGAAGGTCTTGAGATCAAGGTCAAATGTGCTCATTTACACACACACACACACACACATATCTAGAAAGCTGTGTGAGAAATCCTCACGGCCCTCTTTTAACACAGCAGGACAATTCCATGCGCCTCTCTCTTTCTACAGAGCTTGACTCACCCTCTCTCTCTCATTCTCTTTCTCTCTCCCTCTCCTTCTCTCTCTGATTCTCTCTTTATCTCTCTCTCTCTCTCTCTTTGCCCCCCCCTCACACGCACACATACACATGCACACTTTTTTTTCCAGTCAGGCAAATAGTTGGTTGCCTGTGAGTAGACCACAGCATGAGAGGAACCCTGCTGGCTTGGCCTCTGTTGATCAATCAACATCTACCAATGCAGGGAGAGATGAAAGAGGCTGAGGAGGATAGAGGGAAAGAGAAGGAGAGGGATGTAGAGGAAGCCTGACGTGAAGGGAACCGACTGATATAGGATTGAAGCGCCGATAGCGATGTGTCCTGCTGGGTTTGAAGGACTTGTAAATTGTAGGGTGTATGCATCCATATAAAGAGTTGAATGTAGAGCTGGTGGACGGACGGATGGAGCATAATGTGGGCTGGTTTTCCAAGATGGCAGCAGAGCTTTAATAATTCAGCTCACCACAGGAGGTTCCTCTTTGATGTCTCACTTTGAAGAACAAGTGCATCCCTCTCTTTTCCTCTGTTCATCCTCTTACAACTCATTCACATAAACCTCCTCGCAAGTCAGCTAACACACCCCTCTCTCTTCTCCTTTTAGACAGCACGCCGACATCACGGGAACGAAAGAGGCATGAGGTTTAGCACAATAGCGTTGGTGTCTAGTGTGACGAATGACGTACGCGTCGGGCAGCGACTTTCAACCTAAACAATAATGGCAGGTGAACTGAGTGTTCGGGTCGTCTGCTCGGAGGCTAAGGAGCTACTAGATTTCCTAGGTTAGCTGCTAACTGCTGCTAGCATTTCTTTTCTCTATAACTCGGTGGTTAGGGCGCACAAATAACACGTCGTCAAAACGTCACACCCATTCGGCCGTGCTGACTGTCCCTCTCACGCAGAAGTCGGCTCTGTAGAGGCCTGTGCTGCCAGCTCAGTGGTGGAACAACTCTGTCCGACTGTCTGCCTCCGTACCTCTCATACAGAACAACCAGGCGGAATAATGGCGCAACAGTCCCGCCTTGAACAGGTGTAGCAACATGGATTAGTAGTTAAAAGGAACCGTGCACTGTGTTATAATTATTCATTTCTCCTCATACAACAACAGATATTAGCAGAGTCTAGATTGGCCTAAAGACAACACGTTCAAAGTAGTATCATTCAGGTGGTTTCCCCCTGCAGACATTTAATCTCTGATAAGTCATTAAACTACAGCTGATTTCCATGATTTGGTTTTCTTAGCTTAAAAGTGAAACACACACACACACAGCAGCAGCAGCATCCCTTTAATCTTACATGCTGTATGATCCTCTGGGACCCCCGTGGGGAAAGAGAGAGAAAGTGTCATGTGTTTCAACACAAGCATATCAACAAATCTGTGTGCATGCTGTCTGTAGTCTGGGCTTTTTTGGGACCAGGGTGCATAAAACATTATAGGAAGGAGAGACACATATACATGCACACACACAAACATACATTACACTTTCCTCCTCATTGGCACTGTTCGCGAATTCCTCCATATCAAGTTTTTGGTTTTAGCTGACACTCTTCCACAATTTTGAAGATTTGGGTTGGGTTAGGGAGAAGCGGTGGTGTTTTTAGTTCATGTGTGTAGTGAAAATACATTTATTCCATAATGTTTTATGAAATGAGCACAAATCCTGATCCTCAAATTGGACTTCCTTTTATCCATTTGTTATATAAAAAGTGAATCCTGTAGTTACACTGAGTCAAGTAAAACTTGACTGGTCATGAACATGAACTCAGTAGAGACATGCTTTAGGTTAAGGCACATCCACCAACCTCATAACAACCCTCACTTTCAAATATGCAATATAGTCCATTGAACAAGCAAATACACTATCACATCATTGAGAACCCCAATGACAGGCCGGATCAGAGTTTTAATAAAAGGACGATATCTGTGCCATATTTCAGCTGCGTTAATAAAATCTCAACTCCAACGTACCTGAACACAAAACAGACGTTAATGCAAAGTAGAATTGGTCTGCCTGCATTTTCTCTCTGCTGCCTTTCTGTGCTCTCTATAACTCATCTTGATGTCTTCTCTCCACCAGGTATACTGTACAAAGGCAATGGTGAGAACATATTCATATCCCAGCAGCCCCCGGTCATCAGCAGCATCATGGGTAAATACAGATTCAAGTATAATTGACTTGATTGAACCTGCATGTTTGTGATCAGAGTTGATTATAATATAGTATTATATTACTTGTCAGTGATTTTGCTCTAATGGTTTAAGTGTGAGAGCCACAGGAAACTCATGGGACCCAGAAAAAATACCTTCTGAGTGCTAGTTGCTCTCTAGCTCTCTAGCTCTGGGAAATCTTTGTTAAAAGAAACACAAAATTGAGGGGTGAATTCACAGAGAATGGATTGCAGTCACTGATAGCTGCATCATCACTTGCAACGGCTATCTGACTGCGCAAACACATCCATAAAGGTTTGCAGCTGAGTACAATTATCCATGTGGCAAAGTATAAATGCACTTGAAGCCAATGCGTAGGTTGTGAGGGGTGAGAGTTAGCCAGAGCCAGAGGTCTTGCCAGGAGGATCTGGCCAGAGTTCCTCTTCCATCCAAAGCTCCCGAAGGAAATCAAGAGGGAGGAAGGGAAGCATGTAAGAAGGGAGAGGGAAGAAATGATCTGTTTATTTTTTTGTATAATAACAACCTTATTTTTCTTCAAATTGACATGTAGGGCAGCTTTGTTCATTTATTTTTCATGACACAACTGTCATTGCATTCTGTCATTGCATCCCAAAATAAATGAATTTGAGCAGACACCTCTTATAAATGCCCTTCAGTTACCAGCAACTATCTGAGGATGCTAATTATTTCACACTGTAACTGCACGTGACTGCTGATCTTTGTGAATTGGACTGTTTTTGCAAAATTTTGCCAAATGTCTGCATATTACCTCATTTAAATACGTGCAAATAGCACAGGAGCACCGGGACACTGTTTGCTTGGCAGCACAGTTATGACTGCATCTCACCCTTTGCGGGCGCTTTGAGAATTACACGGTTTCTTATTTTTGCTGGTTTAGAGGCTGCAGTTTATGTATTGGATTCAATCAAATACATAAACTGTCAATGTGTGCACAGACTGTCAGTAGCACAGAAAACACACAGATGGCTAACGTAAGCTACAGGCCGGAGTCACAAGTGAAGATTATAAGATAGCAGTGTTGTTTTGAAAGGCTTTCATAGTTTCAGAGGTTTGGTCAAGTTAATAGTAATAATTGGCTTTGTTGTTTATAGAACTGATGACTTTAAATTTAGATTGTATGGCCTCAGTAGTGTAGGTTTGTTGGGTTGGAGCATGTCTGCAATACTTCTGGTCTGACACATTTTGTCAGTGCCCACGTCTTTTAAACTGCCAGTGCTCAGCTCCACTTGTTTTGCGTAATGCCTTTACACGTTCTGGCTAACTTTTCTGAAGTGCCCCTACAGGGAATAAACCCTGGGTCTCTGAGATGGTGGACAGTGCATCAGTCCAACATTTGTCAGTCTTTCTTTGGCTTGACATTGTTAAATAAATGCTTGGTCCACAACAGTGTTCAACAACCTGACTGGATATAATGAATTTGATATAAGCTCCCAACTGGACAGTCTGTTTTGTGGAAAGAGCAGAAACCAAATGTTTCAGTCGGTAACAGTTGATTCAACGTCCTGTCCCAGGAAATGGACGTCGCCGCAGCATCTCCTGCCCCAGCTGTAACGGACAGGCAGAGGGCAATAAGCTGCTTGCGCCCCTGGCTCTGGCCTGCGGAGCAGATGGCAGCATCTTCGTTGGAGACTTCAACTACATCAGGAGGATCTTCCCCTCAGGGAATGTTACCAGTGTCATGGAGCTGAGGTAAGAGGGGAGGGAGGATGGCCGCTGGTGCCAGATCGGGGATCTAAACCTAATCCAGAGAATACATCCCTGAGTGTCACAAAGATAAAGGTCTCACTCAGAGAACTCAGGATCCATTTAACAGTAAAACTCTGCCATCGGATTCTCAGGGACTTTGCAAATGCACGATAGTTGGTGGATTTGAGTAAAAGAAAATATGACATACAGTTTACACATTTGTGAAAAATGAGCTGATTGACTTGTGAGTCCTTGGTTTTTAATTTAAACCTAGCATCTGAATCCATCTCTCTGCCTCCGCTTTCCTTCCGCCACTCAACTGTTCAACTCCACATCATTGGTCTCGGCTGACTTTGAACAGTACTTGAACACATAAAGGAAGAGAGGGATAGATGCGTGGCCAGATTGGACACTTTGCCACTGATTAACATTCAAGTACTTACTCTTTAGCCAAAGTGCTAAAAGAGAAAAGATCAGTGTTTTAGTGCTCGGAATCTGGCAATGTGCTTCTGGCACACTGTTGAGTGCTCATTTCTCTAACTCCTATTCTAACAACTGAAATCTTTTTCCTATTGACTTCTGAAGCATGATTTAAATTCTAAATCTGACTGCAACATTTTCTCTTGTTCTCCAGTATGACCTTTTTTCCAGTGATTTTAGTCATAGAAAACAATCTGTCTACTAACTCTTGTTTCCTCTTTCTTCCTTCCTTTGCTTGCGCTGTATTAAAGAAACAAAGATTTCAGACATAGGTAAGAGTGACTAATCTTTTTCAACCTTTAAACTTCTTTTCATTCCACCATCCATTTCTGCTGCTTACGCACAGAGACTCTAGTCTGCACATTTCTTTCATCCTTCTCATCTCCTTTTAAAATAAAAACAATCACTGTTGCTCATTCCTGGCAGCTTTCAGACCTGATTACGCTGACGTCCTCAGCCCAAGGTGCATCAAGGAGACAGTGAGCTGGATCAAGCTGTTAGCAGGCTAATTTAGCATTTATAATTTCTTCCTGAAGTCCATTAATGCTTTATAGCTGCAGAATGAATCATGTAGAGTAGCTGTCAAAATGGGTCAGACAAACAGATGATGTTTGAACAGACAGACATACAGTCTTCACAGCAGCTAGTAAATTAGCTTAGCTTAGCTTTGGCCATCATTTCTGTCATGATCACATTTTACTCACCAAAGCAACTGGTAACATCTGGAAATATTGAATTATCCATTCAGTTATTAATCTAAGGGACAGAGAGAGGAAGGTAGCCCTGATGTTTGCTACCATCAAATGAAACCCCCCCATTAGTTTTGTCTTTGTTTCCCTCAGTCTCATCCTCTTTCCCTCTCTAATGTGGACAAGTGTTCACACAAAATCGAGCCTATTCTTCCGTTGTCAGCTCAGATGAAGTCATCGCTTTAGCAGCAGCCCCTAGCAAGGAGAGACGTCGAGGGGGGGTTGAAGATGTTGGCCGTGGTTACTGGTCTTCCTTATTTCTCTCTGTCTCGCTGTCCTTTTCAAATTCATTCAAGGTCATGAAAGTTTTCATACAGGCAAAGCAAAAACAACAACTGGTTTCAGACATTCTTCACACACTTTTCACATAAACAAGGTGAATAATATGTCATATAAATAAATCAAGGACATTGTGGTGTGTAGCAGTTATGTTAAATCTTGCACTCGTAAATTTTGCGGCAGCTCCTTCTGGAGGAAAATAGATAAAAGGAATTCAACAAGTTGATAATCAATTTAGTCTCAATATCACAGTAGTAAGTTCTAACTTCATTGATCTTTAGTTCCCGCTTTGAAAGAATGTGACAGATAATACCTTGATGATAAATGTGTGTTTTATTTATAATAAAATCAAATGAAAGAATAAATGGATTAACAAATGAACAGTGATACCAATGAATAAATTAACTTAGTTTCAAATTGCAAATGGGAATGATTTGGGATAGTGAAGGAAGGATGTGATTTCCTATAATATACCGACTCTACTCTAACCTATAATCAGCTTTATTGGCCATGTGTACGCAAACAAAGAATTTGACTCCGGTTTTTCGTTGCTCTCCACGTACATACACAGAATTTACAAAGAAACACGATATGAATATAAATTTAAAAAACAAGGACAACAACACTGACACTGGGGGGTGTCAGTGTTGGGTGGGCTCCTCCTGAAGTCCACTGTCATCTCCACAGTGTTGAGCTTGTTTAGCTCCAGGTTGTTCTGACCACACCAGAGGACCAGCTGTTCAACCTCCCGTCTGTACGCAGACTCATCACCGTCCCTGATGAGGCCGATGACCGTTGTGTCGTCTGTGAACTTCAGGAGTTTAACAGATGGGTCCTCTGAGGTGCACTCGGTTGTGTAGAGGGAGCAGAGCAGTGGGGAGAGCAAACTGCAGGGGGGGTCTATAAATGTAAATATTAATAATGTAAACGTAATATTAATAATTCTGAGCGCTATCTGACACCGACTCTTAATCATATTAGAAGGTCTGAGTTTCCTACTCTGTGCAGCGTAGTTCCAAAAGACCTTGCAGTGGGTGATGATTCCCGTTAGAAAACGATGGTTGCCGGTTGAAGGAGTCAGGAATAGATAGTCCTCAGCTGGCCTCAGATGCCCACCAAACGGGTATAGCAAATGTCTTTGAAGTCGATACACTGCTGTTGCAAAGTGGTTACGGGAAGCAGTTCACGATATCTCCATGCGCTCCCAATCTTGATGGTAGATGATTCTTTGTCCTTTGATGAGTCGGGGATCAGATAATGCTCTACATACTTGTATAACTAAGATTACTCATCTAGATGGACTTAAAATAATCTTGTTCGGTCGGACAACACTACTCAAAGTTAATTTAACTTCTATAGTAGTCTAGAGCCTTAAATCCGCTGACATCTAAAAAGTCTAAACACAATGAGTTCCTCAAAAGGTTCCTAGTACCTGGGGGAACCATGGGTCTCAGTAAGGGACTTATGCTGCATTTTAAAATCCAATCCATTTAAATGGGGACAAATACAGATTTTTCTCCTTTAAGTCTTCTGGCTTGACCAACAAAGAACACAATGGCCCAATACTGCTAAAGATCTTGAAACCTGGTGGAGAATTCCCACTCACGCTCTTGAATTTCCCCTCTGATGTCCTCAGAGTTGACAGGCTTGGGTGATGACATGTCCCACTGGTGTTTGAAGAAGCCAAAGGCTCCAGTTTGAATGCAATTCTTTCCATGCATCAAACAGAGCTGGCCCGGTTTTCACCTCCGTCTTTGATCCCATCAATGCACTCTGCAAATTACTCCCTAACAACTAAGCCACCCAACGGGCAGTGGAGAGGCAACTCTTTGTAAGCACTGTCATGTCCTTCAGGAGCGATTTTAACTGGCGGTGATTGAGTGAGGAGCAACGAGAAGATTAACAATTTTAACAACCGTGACCATTAGAGAGGAAAATCTGACTTTGACACTTGAGTGTTCCTGGTCACTAACAGTGAAGCTTCATGACAGGGTGACCGATCACATTTTCAGTTATTGTCACAAGCCCTGGCGGCCCTCATATTTTCTTGATGCCGACTCCTGTGCAGTCAAAATGCTCTGTCAAATCCCTTGTTAATGTAAAAGTAAAGAAGGCATTTTGATTCTTCAAACGTTCCTACCTTCAGGCTATAACCCCTGCTAGACTGCATGTATTGGTTTGTGTACGAGTGGAAAATATGACATTCACCTGTAGCCAAATTAAAGAGTTAGACAGGGCTATACCAAAGGTTAAGATATACACTTACTTTATACAATGTTTCCAACATGTGCCATAATCCTATAGGTTGGTAGAGAACCTCAAGCCACCTAAACAGCCAGTCTTGTAAACAGGTGTGAGCTTTGATGTAAGCATAAATAGTGAACAACTTCTGTGACCCGGTCAGAGAGAGGGTGATCCATCTTTTCCTAACTTCTGTCTGTTACATGTTTTATTCTGAATGCAGCTTTCTCTTAATATTATATTGCAAACTTAACTTTCTCATTGTGTGAGTGAGCTACGTAACATCTATTTGTAAATTCCATTATGGAGGATTGCAAACTGGGAAATATTTGAACTTTGGAAGGCAACCGTTATCGTTGCAGGTATTCTCTGCCGGCCTCAACTTATTTTACCGTACTGCTGTCATCCACAAACATGATATCCGGTTTGCATGTGAATGCGGCATTGAACAAGGCTAACTGCTGTTTGTTTCCCTTTTTATTAAAGTATGACCACGACTGCTCCCTCACCATAACAAAGTACACATTTTAACCCAAAGCATGTTCTTTGCCTAAATCTAACGGAGTAGTTTTTGTGCCTAAATCTAACCAAAACTTAAGCATAGCGTTGTCACACCATGAAACTGATTTTTTTCCATTCTATGTGTCGTTCCAGAGTGCATGGAAAGACAACTTATTTGTTGCTCGTCTACCACTATCTGATAAGTGTATAAAAAATCCTATCAAATGAAGATGCCTTGAGTGATTTGGATATATATTGTGTTTAATAAGGTTTTCTGAGGTCATCTGCTCTTTAAATTGAGGATATATTTACTTTTTACAGCTCCCTCTACATATCTCTGCCCTCTGTGATTTGGGGAGATACATTAGAATCCCCCCCCCACCTTCTGAAAATGAAGCTGAACCCAGTTAGTTTTCTACTATATCTCCTCATACACATAAAGAGCAGCACCATACCTGGGGCTTCTTTGCCACTGGCAAGATGCAATGATTGGACTGATTTTTTTTTTCTACTCATCCGAATGCAGTTTCAATTAAAAACTTTAATTAAAACACAATTTTGTCATGTCATTGAGGTTTTTTTACCTATTGCCCTTCCTTCATGTTTACTTACTCACGCCATCTTGACTCTGAGTTCTGTTTCATTGGTTGTAATTATTTCATCCTCCTGTCTTGTTTGAGTTCTTGTCTCTTCTCTCGCCTTTCGTTCCTTCTTTTGTCTCCTTCTTTTCCTCATTCTTACTTTATTTCCTACACATTATTTTCCATTACTACTCAGAAGTGTATGTTCAGTCTTCCTCTTGTCCTGTCCTCTTTATCCTTTCCTCATTCAAGCGTCGCCTCATCCATCACTCCTTATTCCTTGTCCCTTTGCTTGTCTGTCTGGTACCAGGGTTTTGTCTGTGATACTGCCTATCCTCCATCTTGAACATTTTCTAAGTGGGGGTTTTCTGCTTAAATAAAGGATAAATGACAACAAAAGGGCACACAGTAGGCAGCATGCCGGGGCCTTACAAGTACAGAAAAGCACAGACAGTCCTGTCTATTTTTAGCTGTCTTAATTAACAGCCTGTGATCATCTGCTTATTATCGCCAACCGCTGAGACTCATGGCTAGAGGCGAGTGCATATGTATACATCCACACCCAAGTGTGTTGAGGTCTGATGCTTGACACTTGCTGTGTGTGTGTTTGTGTGCGTGTGCATGCGTGTGTGATGGATTTTACATGACAGTGTGACAGTCATTAAGAATGTGTCACAGTCAAGTCAAGGCCCATCTCAACCACGTAGGTCTGTTCAGACTGACATAGAGGGACCAACCTACTGTCGACACACACACACACATATCACATGCACTTACTGACTTTCTCACTTACGAATATCACAACTACACTTCTATAGAAAAAAGAATCAAAAACATGTCCAAAGAAATAGCAACACACTGTGTCTGCCTTTCATTCCCCCTGAGTTACACACACCCTTCAAGCACCTGGTATTCTACTGGAAGTAAATTAACACCAGTTTCTTGTCTTTCAGTTCATCAACCTTCCTTTTATTCATTACTTATTCATTATCTTCAGCTCCAGAAAGTCTCTTTTATTTCCATCATAATGATGCTGGAACCAAAGTAAACCTGCTCTGCTGATGGTGATTTCATTGTGAGCTTGTTTCCAGTCAGACTTTGGATCATGTGTCAGCAGGGTGATCTGAAGGAAACAATCCATCAAGGACACATGGGGGATTTTAGTGTCCATGTTCAAAACTGGGTGTATTTCTTGAATTGTTTAAGTGTTCAATCCCTGGTGTCAGAGATACTGACGTTGTTAAAGATATAGCATGACTAAACCAATTCTTTCTTGTCTCCATCCTGTTTGTTACCCACCTCTCCTTTCATCTGTCAACACCCTCCATAGCAACAACCCTGCTCACCGCTACTATTTAGCCACCGACCCAGTAACAGGGCAGCTATATGTGTCCGACACCAACTCTCGACGGATCTACCGACCCAAGATGCTCAGCGGCGCCCGTGACCTCATCAGTAAGCCTTCACTTAATTTCCCCAGTAATACACCATGTTGACAGAAATGAAAGTAATCAGTTTTTTTCAATTGTTAATTTCAGTGTAATGTACCCACACTCATCCACGGCAATTGAAATGCTGGTAACATAGTAGGGAAAAAGAAAGTGGATAAGGGCTGTTGCAATAAAAGTGTGTGTGTGTGTGTGTGTGTGTGTGTGTGTGTGTGTGTGTGTGTGTGTGTGTGTGTGTGTGTGTGTGTGTTCAGGTAATGGAGAAGTAGTGGCTGGTACAGGGGAACAATGCCCTCCATTTGATGAAGCACGATGTGGAGATGGAAGAAAAGCTACAGAGGCACAACTACTGGGACCAAAAGGTACACACAAAACACAAGAGATGACTAGGTAGGGTAGGTGGTTATTTTTCAAGCCTGCCTCATAACTATTGTTGCTGAGGAAGATTCTCAAGACCTAGTTCAGAAACAATGGCACAAAAGTTTGACCTGTACGCTCATACTTAATTCAAATCTTGGCCTGTATGTATCATACATTTCTGAGTGGGAAGTTTGTCCCAACACACATATTTGGTTTTACATTTAGAAAAGGGAACATAGGAATTTCATCAGCTTTCTTATCCTTAGAAAATCATCCTACTTGTGCTAGAATTTTGTAGAGCTGTACTGAAACGTTCAAAGTCCCCGGGGCGAGAAGAAGGAACTCCCCTTTAACTGGTAGAACTGGGCTCTGGGTGGGCAGCCATCTGCCTCGACCTATTTGGTTGAAATAGAGAGAGGGGGGGACAGGTAGAGAGAGAGAGCTTTAACAATAATAGCACAACAGCTATTAATAAAGATAGAAAAATGACTAATAGTCTGGATCACCAGGTGATGTAGTGGTTCACTTTTACACTGCGATCTGTAGCTTTAGCTTCTATCTTTATCTTTTCAACCTGTTTTCTCTACTGAATCAGTTTGACATCCTGGATAGATCCTTCAAACACATATTGTAGACCCTTCTGTCTTCTTCTCTCTGAAACTGCTTTTTCATTTTCCCAAAAATAGATCATATTTAAGCAGAGTGCAGTTAGTGACAGTGTGGGCTCCATGGTAACGTACCTCTAACAGCTTGGGTGGGGCTTAGCGAAGGGCCAATTGCTCCATCTACCAAACAGTACCTACTCTACACATCCATTCACATAAATTCTTCCATCTCCTACTTAATTGGCAACATGGGAATACCGCTACCAGAGTGATGATATAGGTCCTTCACAACTGGGTCTGTGTTTATTGCACCTCAATGCTCAACGGCATCAATGTCCCTGACAATAAATGTGGCTGAATAAAGATTTCATGCAAATTGGAGGCTCCCCCGCATTTGCAAGTGTCACTAATGGTTGGCATAACATCATTGCTTCAAGTTCGGATGGGAACATATTCTAAATGAGTCAATATCACTGAATGAAAAGACACTGACTGGTTATGCAAGCATGCACCTTGTGTGTTGTAGCCACGATGACGTGCTTATTTTACACTTTTTATGCTGTTACTGTACGTTTTGTTCACATTTAATCGATAGGCCTCCTGACCTACATACAGTACTGCATTTAACTCCACTCCTGAAACCTAGAGATGGAATTGCCTTTGTTTTGTTAAATGTCTTCTGCCTTTACATTGATTCTGATACTGACACTGATTAATACTAATTCTAAAAGGCTTGTTACATACAGTTCATAGGCGCCTTTGTGCTTCCATCGCACTCAAAGCAGTTTGCAAATGTTCAAACAACAGGCTATCGTTCTGAACTGTTTTGGTCCGGATCTTTGTTGCGTAGCTCGTCTACTGATTACCAACCGCAACAGCTATTGTTTTCCGGACTCCCCTACAGGAGAAATACCTCACTCTCATTTTCAGAAAGATGATGTATTGATAATCAACTGGACAACTATATACTGAAGTTTGCGTTTGTGTTTGTGTTCCCTACAGGCGTCGCAGTTGATAGAAACGGTTTGATTTACTTTGTGGATGGGACTATGATCAGGAAAGTGGATCGTAATGGAATCATCTCCACAGTGCTGGGCAGCAACGACCTGACCTCTGCACGACCTTTGACCTGTGACACCAGCATGCACATAAGACAGGTAACATTCAAGGATGCTCTAAGTATGCTCTGTGCACCCATCAGACTCTGATTGCTTTCCTGTATATATATAAAATAGTGCTGGGCAAGTTAACGCGTTATTATCGCGTTAATGCATTCATTAATTAACGCCGACAATTATTCTATCGCGCGTTAACGCAGTTTTTTTTATTATTAAGCGGACATTTTTAACACAAGAACCGGCCGGCCAACCGGCCGGCAGCAAGCGGTGAACAGCTGAGTTTGTGTGGCGTCTCTTCCGTCTCTTCCTGTTTCCTTCACCCACATTCCCCTGGGTCCTAAGTCCCTCCATGTACAGCTTCTTATCAGCTTCTTATAAATGTACCAACGTACATTTATAACAAATACCACACATATTACGGTAATCAGCGTTGCATATATGTCTGACCAAAATACCAACAAAAGCAAAAAATAAATGATTCATTTAAATAACTTTTTTAGAGTTTTTAAAGTGTTTTTGTTTGGAATATGTATAATAAGCATATTATTTAGCTATCGCTACTGAGAATTTAACAAAAAAAAAAAGATAAAACACCGGCTGAATATCTATTATCAGAATCATTATAACTGTATTTTAACTGCTACTGTGTAAAGGGAATACTGCTGTTAAAAAGCACCTTATTTGTTTAAAGTGTTTGCAAACCAAGTTATTGCACTTTTGTTCATATAGCAGTACTTTTAAAATAAAAGTGCGCAATACACTACTTTTGAATTCATTATTGAATTTTGCGCATAACAATGCGATTAATCGCAAAAAAAATCATGCGATTAATCACGATTAAAAATTTGAATCGTTGCCCAGCACTAATATAAAACAATATCACACTTGCATTGGATTTAAATGTTTCCAGTAAACGTAAATTAGTTGCAGGTCCCTATGATTGAGATTCAATCCAGTTGATAGGATGCTCTGCAACGATTAAGATCTGGTTACTGACTTTTCCTTAATTAATTTTTGAAACTCATCAGACTGGCAAAAATAAGAAAAGACAGTGAGACAGAGAGTAAGATAGAATTTTTACAGCTTGTTTTTACTGAGAATGTACAATCTTACATACATGGTATGGACTTCAGAATGGAAAGAACACCACGTTTCTACAATATTACATCTGCTCAAAAATGGCTCACAAAGCTTAATGCACAAATCCTTTATAACAAGTTACAGCACATTTTAAATACATTAAGTCCCAAGAAATCCTTCATCACACACACGCACACACACAGGGCAAGTGTCAAGTATTAGACCTTAAGGAAAAGATTAAACAAGGCTTAACGTGTGTGTGTGTGTGTGTGTGTGGGTGTGTGTGTGTGTGTGTGTGTGTGTGTTAGAGAGAGAGAGGGAGAGTGTGTGTGTTGTGGTCTTTGTTTTGTGGGCACAGGACCGTGGTTTGGGGGCATTTCTTGCAGAGTTGCACTTATCTGAACTCTGACTGTGTTTTCTCCGCTGCAGACTTTAGCTCAGTTTGACTTCTGGCAGTTATCTAGTCGACCTCTTGAGTTCACTCGTGGAACTGACAGCCCACACATGTTCAACTACAGCTTTCTGTAGATTCATGTTGTTCTTTTTCAAGTTAAGCGTACAGTCACTTTAATATGTTTGTGAATGCAGCATTTGAACAAAGGGGACATTTAGTAGACAATATATAAACTTGCTGATATTAAAAACACCCCATGTTGTGGGTATAGACATAGTTTATCGAAGACATTTAATGTAAACACACGTCCAGATTTATTTCTTTAGATTTGAAGTACTTTAAAATAACTCCTTATGTCATGTAAACCTGATCCGAAGGGTGTATTTACTATCACAGATGCCCCCTCAGTCCTCTGTAGTTTTAACAAGTCCAGTTGAACTGTCCATGAGCAACTTTGTTTTTAGGTGATTGCTCTCCCTGTTTTCTCTTTACTGAGGCAGCAGACCTAGAGATCATGAAGGTTTTAATTTTATATACATCATTTTTAAAGCATCTGTCATTATCAATGACAGTTTCCTGGATCAGATCACCAGGAAACCAGGAAATACACCGTATTTCCTGGTTTCCTGGTGATCTGATCCTGTTAGAATCAACAGGATCAGATAGCAAAATACAGTATAGTTTAATGGAAGTATATACTGTAGTCAGAGTAGCATGTGAACCTCTCTCTGTCTTCTCCCCCTCTGGCATCTTAACATCCAGGTTCGGTTAGAATGGCCCACAGATCTAGCCATCAATCCCATGGATAACTCCATCTACGTCCTGGACAACAACGTTGTGTTGCAGATCACTGAAAATAGACAGGTACCCACATTAACCACAGTCCATGTTTTACAAATGTCCTGTTACATGTGCCTTTTTTCATGAAATACTAGTTTAATAAATCAACTTTTGCTAGCAGCTAGTAACAACTTTGCATAATGTATGTGTTCAGGTTCGTATCGTGGCAGGTCGTCCAATGCACTGCCAGGTACCTGGTATAGAATATACTATGGGGAAGAGAGCGGTCCAGACCATGCTAGAGGGAGCTACAGCCATCGCTTTGTCCTACAGCGGTGTCCTCTACATCGCAGAGACAGACGAAAAGAAAATCCACCAGATCCGACAGGTAATCTTCAGCAAATACAGTATACGGTACATTCATGTGCAGTAAGTTCCTGATTAACAGATCAACAATTTTTGCATCAACTTTGAATCTCTGTCCAAGTCAGTAATTAGCAACAAAGGTACCAAGTCTGATTTGAACCCCAGATACAGGAGCATTAGACAAATGATGAACTGAGTGCTTTTATTGTGTCGTTTTCTTTTCGGTGAAAGAGCCCTTCTGTTGCAAAATGTCTATTTGTGACTTTCACCCCACCAGGTGTCGACTGATGGAGAAATTACCCATCTAGCTGGAGAGCCATCTGACTGTGACTGCAAGGTCTGTACCACATCTACCTTACATACAGAGGAGCTGACATTGAAAAGCATTCTCCATGTCCTTCTTTTATTTCTTCATTTGATATCTTAATCTTGATTGATTCATGATATAGTACAGTCCAGGTCAGCAAACCCACAATAAATGTGTAGCAGTCAAATAATTATATGAATACAATTTAATATAGAATATAAGTAATTTAATTGTAAAACAATATCACAGTGACTGCAGCTAGTATCTGATCAACATTAATATATTAGTAATATAACACAATAAAGAAAATTTGATTCATGAGAGTTTGTCACCAGTTGAATTCTTGATGGTGCCCACTTCTCCTCTCCACTCTCCATAGCATAAGCCAAGTTGAATTGCTCATGTAATGTCATTGTCTGTCACCCTACCCACCCCTCACCCCACTCCCGACCTCCGTCTGTCTTGCAGAACGATGCCAACTGTGACTGCTATCAAACAGGAGAGGGCTATGCTAAAGACGCAAGGCTTAATTCTCCTTCGTCTTTGGTGGTGTCTCCGGATGGGACGCTGTACATGGCTGATCTGGGAAACATCCGAATTCGAGCTATACGATGCAACCAGCCACCTACTGGTATGTTTATACTGTTAGTGTTGTTACAATACCAAAATGATGGCTTTGAAGCGATACCTGCCTCAAGTATCTCGATGCTGATACTGAAACGATACCACGGCAAAAATCTAAAGATGACAACGGAACATGTAACTTAAAATTTTTTTCATATATCAAAAAACCAAACATATTTTGACAATGCAAGGCAGTGGAGGGTGTGAAAAGAGGCCATAAACAAGAGTGAATTTTTGTACCATAGTGCGTTCATCGACCAGCCGTGAAAAGTCGACAAAAACACTTTTGCAGTGTAAATATGGCTCTTTTCAAAACACCTTAAAGTATCGGTGCTAATAATATGGGGAACTGTACTGTTTTTAATGGCAGAGTACTTCAATACCTTTCTTGTATTGTATCCTGTGTAATACATTTATGTTGTCCCCCATCAAATATTAGAAAAAAGAAGATGGAAAAAAATCATGTGTTATGATGTATCTCCATTTATTTGCATGCCGTGACATATGTATTACATGGAATGTGGACCACATGGATTCATATTTGGGCCAGTAAGGATCCTGCACACTACCCAGTAATTGTACAACAATGATCTTTGGGTTTGAACAGTGGCTACACACTGGCAAGGCAGACTCAATGAAGGATCTGAGGCTCTGATTGCTGCGCAAGCTGGTCAGCAGAACTGTCCCAGATATTTCCCAGCGTATATAATATAATATATACATATATGTATAATAAAAAGAAGATACAGTAAATGATAGAGCAATCACAAGTCTGTCCATCTGCTTGTTTGTGTGTCTTCAGGCTCTCTGGCTTCAGGTCCTAGCTCCTATGAAGTGGCCTCTCCAGCCTCCCAAGAGCTCTATGTGTTTGATGGGAATGGGACTCACCAGTTCACCATGTCTCTGGTCACTGGGGACTATAAATACAACTTCAGCTACAGGTTGGTTTGTGTGGAAATAAACACATAGTTGCTTTGAAATATTTGTTATATTTGAAATACATTTAGTTTCGGCACTTTCTTCATTGTTGTCCTTCTTTTCAAACTTAATTTTCACTTTGTCATTTACCACCCTCCATTCCTTCACTCTCAGCAATGAGGAGGATGTAACCGCGGTGACAGACAGCAGCGGGAATACCCTCCGTATCCGTAGAGATACCAACAGGATGCCTGTGCGTGTGGTTGCCCCTGACAACCAGGTGAGATGAGCAAGTCTTTTGCCATGCTGCAGAAGTTAAAGTTATCAAAACACCTGCATTCAGCCAGCAAATGAACCACTTATTATTGTTTTATCTGTATTTTGTTTCTCACAAAAGTTTCAAGAAAACACTATTTGGACAACAACAAAATATTAATATTTAAATTAAGCAAACTTTGATGTTTACTGTCTGAGATGACGGCTGAGATGAAGTAAGAGAGGACTGGTACAATCCGAACACGTAACCATGTTTTACTGTGGCTGTTGCTGTTTGTGTGTGTGTATAGGTCATCTGGCTGACCATCGGGACTAACGGTGGTCTGAAGACTCTCACGGCTCAGGGTCAGGAACTGGTCTTGTTTAGTTACCATGGCAACAGTGGCTTGCTCGCTACCAAAAGCCTCCAGATAGGCTGGACTACCTTCTATGAGTGAGCAGCATTACTCTGTTTATATTTGGGTACATGTCTGACCTGCTGTGTGATAATGGAAGGCTGGAAATCAAAAGGGAAAAAACAAAACAAACAATAAATTTGGATTTTTGTATTTCATAAGACATCTACAGGTACTTTACCAAGTTACTAAGAATTATTTTAGCTCTTAATGGTTTTATGGCATTGAGAAAACATTTCTGACAGAATCGCATCAGCTGCTATGATCTACACCTGCTCAAATCACCTCAAAGTGGGCAACATCAATCTGAACGAATCGATTTATAACATACACTCTTTGATTTCTTCACTGTCTCTACTAGTTTATGTCGAGACATAAACTTTAGTTGGACCAGTGGACACCGAACGATTAGTCTTCTGACGAGACGTTAAATAATTGAAAACCTAGTCTCATAACTGACTAATTCATTGACTTCCTCTAATTAGATTAATTGGAATTCAAGCTCTTCCTCCAGCTGGGTATATCCAGTTTTCATCCCACCTCCTCTGAAATTGCTATTCTTTACAACCAGGTCTAGCACATTCAGCTATGGCCACGTGTGTGTGTGTGTGTGTGTGTGTGTGTGTGTGTGTGTGTAATGTAGAGTAATTTTTTTTCTACAGGGTTCCATAAAGCACATTACAGTAATAGACACTAATGTCCCTTTATTCCCCCCTCCCTGCATCCCTCATTGTCCTTGTAGCTATGACAGTGAGGGTCGTCTGACTAATGTGACCTTCCCCACCGGCGTGGTGACCAATCTCCACGGCGACATGTCGTCAGGGGCTGTTGCTGTGGACATTGAGACGTCAGGGAGGGATGAGGACGTTTCCATCACAACCAACCTGTCATCAATAGACTCCTTCTACACGCTGGTGCAGGGTAAGGTGTTTACGCAAGTGTGTGTGTGTGTGTGTGTGTGTGTGGGTGTGTGTGTGTGTGTGTGTATTCACATTTCAATTACTATTACTGCTTTTATTACTACTCTCATTATAATTTCTGTCATATGGATTGGCTGTGTTGTTGTTCATTCTGTACCCATGACATATCTATTACACTTCTGTCTATCCTCTGTTGCTCTCCCTGATGATGCTTCCTTATTTTACCTGTTATTATCAGATGCCAGGGTCCGGGGACGGTATACACATTGTAAAGCACTCTGAGGCCAATTTGTGGCTAAGCAGATAGAATTGAATTTAATTGAAAAGTAATTTTTAACCAACAGTTAAACAGAGTGAGGACAATTATGGAAAGTTGGGACATTTTGTATGGTCCTCACTTCTTCAAGACCAGACAATAAGATCAGATAAGAATTAGGTTTAGGTTACGGTAAGGTTTGGGGTTAGGCATTTAGTTGTTATGGTTAATGTTAAGGTGAAGGTAAGGGGCTAGGGAATGCATTATGTCAATGAGGGTCCTCACAAAAATAGAAGTACAGGTCTATGTGTTTGTCTGTGTGACAGAGTAAGTAAGAAAGTGTGTGTGATGCAAATGCCTTCGTAATGTGAATCAGACTGTGTGATATTGGCCCAGTAGAAACAAGAGCTCTATTCAACATTTTTCAACAGCTCTTTTTTTTTTTTTTTCAATGGTGCCGTTTCCATTGAAATCACTGATGAGAGGCTGTGGACACTTTGGAAAAAGCCCAACATTAAAGTAGATGCAAGGTTTCACACATCGCATGCACTACAAAGACAGCAGAGAGAACAGCAGTAGCTGATAGAGTAGTAGTTGCTCAGTGCTGAGGCTGGTAAATGTTACACAGTAGTGTTGCTGTGAGTTTGGAGTCAGACCAATCTCCTTAAGAAAAGCCAGTATTGTACTTTCTGCATCCGCTTGACTTAAATTTTGTCATCAGAGGGTGTACATGTAGATTCTGTGCAAACATCATCATACAGACTACCCTACATCCATGGAATAGGTCTTCCTGTAGACGCCGATCTACTGTGCATGTGTGGAACGCGTCCTCCAAGTGGACTCCAGAGAGCAGTATAAACAGAACTGCTTGGTGTTTGTGGTGTCTGCAGTGTACGCGTCCACTTGGGAGTATATCAGGCTCTAAAGTCTTCCCTTAACACCATGATTATAAATATAACTTCCCCATGGTAATCCAGAAGGGTCTCAGCTTTGTAGTTCATAATCTTCAGCCACCACCACCAGTCCTAGCACTTACCACCCAGGGCAAACACTCCAAATCAGTAAATCTATATTTCTCTGACCAATGGCCATATTGCAAAATGTTTTATTCTCATTGCTTTCCACAATATTACCCTCTGGCTCCGGCGAATGCCCCATGGGACCACTGTATGTACTGAGCTAAAGTTAACAGTATTGATAGAGTATGTTAATGTCTACATGAATTCCATCCGCAAGACCCGCCTTTGTTCTAATCCATAACCATTAACTTCTTACTAACTGAAAGAAAGAAAAAAAGAGCAGATAGCGAAACTTAATGCCCATCAGTTCCCCTCAGGTAAACACTGTGAGCTCTGTCAGCACTCTTGCCATATTTTTCAATTTAAGCGCTGTTAGCACTGTTAGCCGCGAGCCGCCAGCTCAGCCGTCGCATGTTGAGAGCCATTGAGAGGCAAAAGAAATGCTCCCAATCTCGTATTTTACACCTTTAAACCTTGTAAGAATAGACCTGAGAGATCCATCAATGATAATTCTCGATTTGAGGGAAACTGCAAAAGGAAAAAATAAGTTTCACCATCCTTATCATCCTTCATGTCAGACATTCGGTCTGAATGGTGAGGGAAAACAATAATTTTGCACTGATGCCCTTGTTAAATCTGAACTAATGCGCCAGTTGAAGAGAGGCCTCGAGTGGCCGTCAGTGATTTGTTTCAGAGCATGCTACATGTGCCCCGAGAGGAAAACAGAGTAGCGTCTCCCTCACGGCAGAGCAGTATTGATCCGAACGTAATAAGTTATTCAAAGCCATCGACAAGTGTAGCATTCCTCTCCATCAATTCATGTACATTATTTATCCTTTCGCCTCCTCGCTATCCTCTAAACTGCGCAATGTGCAAGCGGTCCAGGTAATGTGAAATCATATTAGCTGTAGGTGCAGCCCAGAAATGGTAAACAAGCTAATACAGATGCTGTATTTTGTCATTTAGATGTTGTTGTTGATTGCTTTGTGAAAACGGGCAACCATGCAGGACTTGACAATGAGGCTCTACAGGGAAAATACAGTAAATGTTCACACGAATGCATTATCATGGACTGGCTCTAATAAGCTGTGTGTGCTGCTTGTCCCTATTCATTATATATTGTACGAAGCCTCTCTTTTGTGGTATAAAATTGATGTGGGTGGGTGGGAGTGAAGGATCAGATCCACCGCACAATATTAAACCAAAACGTACAATCAGCATAAAAAAATAACACAGTGGCCAGTCACTTTTTGCAGGAGTCACATTTTGGACAGATTTGAAAGGTTAAACTATCTTTGAATTACTTGACCCCAGATCATTTAGATAACCAGTGCTGCATGTTTTCCCTCCATGTCATTGTGAAACAACATTTGGTAGAAAAAAAAGAAAAGAATCCCAGTGAATCTAAGGACGAAAAAATAAAGACTTTTGTAGTTGCTCTCAAATCAAGATGAAAACTATTTTAAAAGAAATTCAAATAAAAAAGTTGTATTATATTTAATTTAGAAGGAAACAACGTTTGAAAATAATTGATAAAGCTAATTCCCTCAGAAATACGATGTGTAACAAAAGAAGACACTGCACACTTATCGCTGTGTGAAATTGGTAGATAACTTTGCCATCAAATGTGTTGATGTTATTTTTATTAATTTTTTGTTTGCCCTCAAAAACTTTGTGAATAAAGTAGAAGGTTTTTTTCGGAAATATTTTGTACTTTTTTTTTTTTAAAAGACAATCAGACAAACAGGAATCATTTACCTGATGAAGGAAGGATAGAATAAGGGAGAAAAAAGTAAAACTGTCTCTAGGCGAGAGAGCCTTGATCTCTCACTTACTCACACATACACACACAGCCATTAGTCCTGCGAGAGGTCAAGGGGAACCTAATCAAAAGAGGCTGGCGGATGTTAATACCTGCCCTGTGCTCCATTAGCAGGTTCAAACACGGCCCACGGAAATTAATTGTACTCTGTTCTCTCTTTACATACACACACACACACACACACATGCATTTTCTTGCTCTCCTCTCTTTGTCTTTCATTTTCTCTCTTTTTCAGTTCAGTTTAGCATTGATAGTGTTTTTGAAGAAATCCCTTGAAATCTGCCACATTGAAAACAAACATAAAATCAATGTTAGGTATAGTAATGATATTGTATTGTATTGTAATTGTATTGTCATTCATGATAATCATCTCCCCGAATCTATCTCACAGACCAGCTTCGTAACAGCTACCATGTGGGTAATGACCATTCGCTGCGGGTCATCTATGCCAATGGGATGGACACACACTACCAGACAGAGCCCCATATACTGGCAGGTATGCAGCTTTGAGCACATTACCCTAAATGTTTGATAGTGAGTGGTGCGGGGATGACGTATTTGTGTCGGACACCCCACAACTAAGCATCACACTGGTTCCGTCCACAAAAAACTATTAGATTTTTCCACTGGATTTTAGATTATTGCAGAAAATAAGCTCTGTGTCAAACAAGCGTTTAGGCTTTTGTTCAGCAAGATAATCTTCACAAAGGACACCACTTTATGATTTTTGAAGCGTGAATACAATATACCCCATGTACCAAGGCTGAGTCCTTGCTGCATCTGTTAAATGACTCTATCCTGCTTACCACCATGCAGTACATGTAAAGCATGGGTGTAGGCTGTCTTCATGGCTTATGAGTTATGAATTGCTCAGTACGCTAAGTATTCAATGTAAATGGTTTTCATCTAAGAGTTTTTGTGTGGCAGGTGCTGTCTGAGGCCTTTTTTCCATCACAACTGTCTGCCCATGTGATGAGCCTGTTTGTGAAAAGGATCATCAGTATCATGAAATATCATATTTGAATGATTTTGATCGGATCATCTTTCAAGCCGTACCAGTGTTTTCACATTTTAGTGCGGCTCCTGCAAATCTTCTGTATTTAAATTTTTGCTGACCATTTTCCAAAGCAGCACAAAGTTTTAATGACTCAAATACGTTGTGTTCTTTTGACTTTCTAGATAGCCACTGGTTTGCATTACATCTTAATAATAATAATCAGCTTGAAATGTGCTGCACGTACTGTCGGTGATCCGTCATAATAAATATGCCTGCTTTTCTTTATGTCATTGTTCATCATTGCATGGTGATGTAGTGCAGACATTTCAGACTTACAAGCCTGCATTAGCAGCTGACCTGCCGAACTGCAGCAATATAACTTAATACAACACAACAATAAATACAGAAGTGATGCTCACTGTGATTAATGACCAACTCAAGTGTCAAGTCTCTGCAGGCTGATTTTCATTTGATGGTCTAAAACACTGCAGGAGACTTTGGAACATGGTTAGTAGCAATTAAATTGTATTGATATGATATGTGATTCACATTCAATGGAACATTGAATGTGAATCACATTAGAAGATTCAAACCACACACAAAGCCCATCTTGAGGTAAAATCATTAAAAGTCTGGAGGGGGAAACATTAAACCTTCCAGAGAGGCTAATGGCTTCTGTAAATGATCAAAATCCATACTGGCATGTACTGCGTTGCAGAGATACACTCTGTCTGAGCGAGTTTGAGCATTATATTTTACTTGATAAACAAAGTTGCTCAGTAATATTTCCGTATTTGCAGGATTAGGATGATCTTCCATGCATTGTAAAAAAGTATACATCAACACATAGTGCACAAGGTACCCAGGATATTGCAATCAAAGGCATGATGTTTTCAGTCTGTCTGTCCCCACGTTCCATTCTCATGACACAATATCTCAGGAACACCTGGAGGGAATATCTTCAAATTTGGCACAAACGTCCACCTGGACTAAGGATCAATTGATTCAAATTTGATGGTCAATTTATGACAATTTCACACAAATGTCTAATGGGATAAAATGATGTAGTGATGACATTTAGGACAGACATTGATGTAGACTCTAGCTTGACTGGTTGGCGGCGGCTACAACCGTGAGGCGGTAGTTGTACCACTTGTAGTTTAAAATGTTGTTGGTATTCATGTCTTTTTCATATCTATTTCAAGGTGCTGCTAACCCAACTGTAGCCCGACGCAACATGACACTGCCGGGAGAGAATGGCCAGAACCTGGTGGAGTGGAGGTTTAGGAAGGAACAGACACGTGGAAAAGTCATCGTCTTTGGGAGGAAGCTCAGGGTGAGTGCTCTCCAGCTGGGACTGACTAGTGATCTACAAACACAGGCATCTTTTCTGAACTGAAAGACAAAATAGGGTCCACATGGTCCAATGGACAGGGTTCAGTTTAATTAATCATGTAGTTATTGTATCAATCTTGGATTATCACAGGGATATCACATGCTGAATAGAGCAGCACCTTTACACTTGCAAACATTACAGAGTTTCAAATTCACCTGCTGTGAACTGTTGGAGGGAGAAACCCACACAGACGGAGTGAAAACATACAGGTGCACTGCGCACAGCGGGGCCCCAGCTGGACATTAGATGTAAGTCCAGTACCTTCTTGCTAGAAGGCAACAATGCTCACATATCAGTCCTATCATTTTGTCCCCCTCTGTAAGCAGCTTGCTGTGGGTTGCATAGGGGATTTATGTTTCTGTCCATTATGGCGTTGTGTGTTCTTACAAGCTATTAGGAGAGAAGGAAGGGACAGTGATTTGTCTGCAGTGCTTGAATATTACATGAAGTGCTCTCTAACTAGCCCAGCCTAATAGGAGAAAACTCTGCAGTCATGTGGTCTCTGGAGAGTTTGATCGACACAATGGTGCCATTCTAAGCATGGTCCAACAAACCCTAATGAATGCAACAGCATGTGTGGCCCACTAGTGGTAATGGGGAGTGTTGTATTGTGAGCTGGCAATAATGAGTTGCGTGTGTTTCAGTAAACGGGAGTGCAAAGGTGAGCATGAATACAGTATGTACACTGTATATGTCAGCCACACGTTAGTGATTGGTGTGTTCAAGAATTTGTCTTCACTAACACCATGACAGTCCAGCTGACAGCGTAAGGCGTTAATAATGATGGGGTGATTGTGGGGCGGGATGAACAGCAGGGAACCTTTGACCAGCCTTTCTGCTAAATGCTAATATTCATACTGTTTTCATGTGGTGCACTCATCAAACTAAGGAATGTGCATTGAGCGTGTGAGGTAATATGAAACTGCATGTCCTAGCAGCTTGTTGGATGAAATAATGAAAACAGCTGCTGTCAGACACAGAATGTCAACGCTGGTAAGTTTTATGAGATGAATTAAATAAATGTAGGACAGTTTCTGATGGTATTGTTAGTCCCTAGATGTATTTGTTCATTGTGTATTTATGATATATTTGACTTCCACTGTCATGTTTGTCAATAATGTATGGCTGATTGGATTCAATCAAACTATGATACATTGCTACGTTTAGGAAAAGGTCGTTGTTTGGGTTAAAATAACTAGGGAAGTGGCATGACTTTAGTACATTGACAAATAAATCAATGTTGACTTCTCGTTTCACATGGGGCAGGAACAATGGTCTCCTGGCTGAGAGATTGTTATTTGAAAATACGAACGCTGTATGAGTACAGTAAATACACCCCAGAAATTCTTCCTCTCTATACCAGTTATTAAGGTAAATGAGTGGCTGAAGTGAAGACGGGACCATCTGAGAGTCCTGTTTGGCACTGAGTTGAAATAAAAGTCATAGAGTGCTCCAATCCATTATGAACGTGACAGGCCATGCCAATCTACAAAATGATTTGTTTCATCTGGTATGGTGTGTCTCACACTCAGCACGTCTGTTGGCTGTTATTTCTCATCCAGCTGGCCATTAGCCACCGTCCCAATATCCTTCTTCTTTCTCTGCCCCCATTTATTCACCTCGCTGCATTCAACTGGTGCTAATTCACAAATGAGAGGGTGGCCGAATAAAAAGATGAGAAAAATGACTTGAACGTTTTCCAGCAAGACTCTATCTTTAATGAAAAAGGTCTGTAGAACAATTCATTCTTAGAATTTCCCCTTGCTTCAAGGATCCATAAGGTGAGTTCAGCTCCGAACCTGGGTTATCTGTCTTCGTAACTGGTGTTTGAACAAACAGCAAGTCATTTAGAAAGCGATAAATTCACTGTTTGAATTCACTGCTTGAGGCGCATATGTTAAATTGAGCAGCAAGTTATTAACAAGAATTAAACACCAGGGCTTATTTCTTGTTTGTCTGTTTGTTCAGCCTACAGACCCTTTTTACAGCCGACATCATGATTACCTCACGGTGTTAAACTGGGGGCAAAACAAAGGAAAGACTAGAGGCAAACACAAAGTGTAGGGCTAAAGTTACACATCAAAGTGTCATGTTGTTGTGTTGTTGGGTGGCAGAATCGTTTGGGACGATAAACTGTGATCCTAGGCTCCTCCCAGCGGAGTAGTCTGCCAACAGTCGGCTAATATGGTCCCTTTGGTTTATGTTAACTTTCTCAAGTAATGCTCGTGGTCCCGGAGAATGAGTGACTGTACATATTGAGAAACATATTGTATATTCTTCAACCATTATACATTTTTTAAAAAGCCAACAAACGTGCTAGCCAGCTAATTATTATAATGTAATATTATAATAGAGTATAATGTACTTAGACTTGCCATGCAAGTCTAAGTACACACGGCCGGTACAGTGAAACTGCGAATGGCTCATTAAATCAGTTATGGTTCCTTTGATCGCTCTAACGTTAGATATATTATTATATCTTTTGGGCCATGATATAAAAGAACAGAGAAACAGATTTGTTTGTCCATGCAGATAGTGATGAAATTTGCTGGTTGATTCCTTTAGTGTTTGGTCACGTCTTAACCTTTGCTCCAGCACTAATTTCCACATGTATATGATATCTAAATCAAATGAGTAAATCTTTATGAACTCAGCATGTTCATGCTGCCCAAAGGCTCTTTCCATTTTGCACTCTCCATGAGCTTTCATCTAGCAACACACAGAAACATCTCCTCACAGGCAGATTGCCATGGTTTACACATTATATTCAAGCTCCCAGGAAGATAAACACTACTGCCACCTTCAGGCCAATCTATTTTAATCCCTCTTCTGCTATTGCTCTAAGAATAAAACAGCATTGTTTGATCTATACACTTTTGTATTGTGGGGTGAAATCAACATTATTGGCACCTTTAAATAGTTGTATGCTTTTAGTCATGGTCAGACCATGAAGGGAGCATAGCAGGGGTTCAGCATTGCTGCATGTAATATGATCAGGTTCAAATACTAAGCATTTCATGTTTCAGCTGATCAGAGATCTCTATGATTCAGTGGTTATTTGTTTGCGTCCACCCCTTCAGGTGAACGGTAGGAACCTGCTGTCTGTGGACTACGATCGTTCGCTCCGAACAGAGAAAATTTATGATGACCACAGGAAGTTCCTGCTGAAGATCATCTATGACACCCAAGGCCATCCGACACTCTGGGTTCCCAGCAGCAAGCTACTGTCTGTTAACTTGACCTACTCCAGGTAAGTGCTTCTATATTAGGGTATTTAATAGTTTCTTTACTCAAATACAGAAAGCTGAGATGTAAAGGATGAAGACGAGATAAGCCAGTGCCACTGGGCTCAGAAGAAAAGTCCAAAAGAGCTCAGTTAAAAAGGGATAGCTTCACTATTCACTGGATCTATGACTTTAGACATCTAACAGCACTTGTTTGTACACATTACATATACTTGGAGACACTATAACCTGACTTAGTTAAGGGGAGAAAGGTTTTTTCCAGCACCACATTCTCACTAATGAACAAAGAAAGCAAAAGAAAGTTGAAAAAGTCTGTTGAGGTGTTGTGGTTAACATGGAACAAACCTACATCCTGCTGAGAAACAGGCTTTGTGCTGGTTTGTGCTGGCACATCAGTGATGTGAACACCGTCACTTATTTCCCCATTTTCACAGATGCACTCTTTATTAAGTACACCTGTATAGTCGAAGTTAGGGGTATTCAATTAAAATTCAACAAGGTCCAGTTAAAGAGAATTTCCTCATACAAAGGTCCGGAACATCACAATAATGTCTAAATTGCGCTATAATTTAGTTTCATACAGTATATATTGAAGTAGCCAACAGTTGTATTAACGTCTGTATGTAGTCAAAAACTGACTGTTAAGTCAAATAAAGAAAGTTAAATTAAATAATATCTCAACAATATTTTCAAATTGAACTGGATGACTTATAAATATTACATAATATAATGAATAAATAAATGTTCTCTCGTTTCAAGTCAAATAAGGGATGCATTTAAGAATAAAATACAACAGAAAGCTTTTGAAAAATGTGCATCTTAAAATAATAGCTCTGCCATTAATTCTACTCTTACAAAGCTTATACATTTTCAGTTTTTGTTGACACTGTTATAATGGTGATAATTCTACTTGATGTTTATTTTTGAGGTCATAGTGTGTGTGTCTGTGTGTGCATGTTCAATTGTATCGAAAGGTGTTTCTAACAGTTTGTCCACCCTGAGGGGGCAAAATATAAGAAACATGGACTTACAAAGTTTCTTCGGTATGAAAAAGGCATCTGCCTATATGGTGATAGTGACACCTTGTGTTCACAATAGGAATTGCATTTTAAAATATCAATATAAATGAAGGTGTGATAATCCTAGGTGGTCGAGTCGGTGACCCATGTATCAAGGCTGAGCTCTTTACCGCAGCAACCCGAGTTCAAATCTGACCCTTAGCTGCATGTCATCCCCTCTGTCTTCCCTTTTCAGTCTAACTGTTCTATCTATCCAATGAAGGCCAAAAAGATCATCTTAAAAAAAGTTTTGTTTATGATTCGGGATTATATGGAACATGGGACTTTAAAACAGCCTCTAAGACTGCATTAACATTTTAAAAGGAACTGCGGCATTAATACACTGACATAAGTAAATTAGTAAATTCATCATTTTAGGGACACTTTCAATTTAACCTGGAAACACATGGCTTGGATATGACACATTCTGGTATGAACTAGATTGTTAGCTTCTACAAAGTTGTATATACACATATGTGTGTGTGTGTGTGTGTGTGTGTGTGTGTGTGTGTGTGTGTGTGTGTGTGTGTCTGTCCAGTACGGGGCAGGTGACAGGCCTCCAGAGGGGTCCAACCACAGAGAGGTGGGAGTACGACAGTCAGGGAAGAATCATTTCCCGAGTCTTTGCTGACGGAAAGACGTGGAGCTACACCTACTTGGACAAGGTACATGGTGACACACATGAACATTAAATCGTATATTGTCCTGATTGAAAATTGGTGGGAGTGGTGGAGTGCAATGTGGCAGCAGTCTTGCCAAGAGTGAATCAACAGATTAGTACCTCATTTTCCACCTCATTTTATTAATGCTTGAATTATGATTGGATGTTTTCATTCAGCTGGTAGCAGCTGGTGAAGAGCTTTGCCCAACCTAATGCAATGCTCCATTTCAGATGACCAAAGAGAGTGAATGGATCCAGATTGTATAGAACACAAATGCCATAAATTCCTCAGCTAAGTTTCTACTGTTAGCTGTTGCAGTGGTGATGTCCCCAGAGGACTGCAAATAAAGCACTACTTAAAATGCAAGCCGAACTGTCTCACTCTCATGCAGGTGGGATTTTGCATAAGGTCCAGTGGGACACAACCCCACCAGATGGCACAGCAATGTTAAGATATTCATCTAATACAAGCTGATTGAAAGATGCACCTGATTCCCTTATTTGTTTAGAATATGGATTGATGTATATGTGCTCAGTGTCATTACATGTAGCTTAAGGTTCATGACAGAAACCCCACTTTTATTTTGTGTGTGAGGAGCTTCATGTTTAACATAAACTTCTGTGGTTGGATATGGTTGGATTTGCCTCTCACCATAGTGCTTCCCTGGTTTGTTGGAGGCTCCTGTTTTCTGTGAGTGCCGGTGCTTTATTTCTTCTGTCCTTGCACTGCTAGGCATCCGATACTGTTAGAGATTTGGAGCCATGCTCGCTGCCACTTTCCAGTAAATGTAAAGTGTCTCATTGTGCTTGTTCTATTGTGTCTTTTACTGCTCTGATAGTATGTTTGTTCTGCCCTCTCTCTAACAGTCCATGGTCTTGCTGCTGCACAGCCAGCACCAGTACATCTTTGACTATGACTCTGGGGACCGACTGTCAGCGGTCACCATGCCAAGCGTGGCTCGACACACCATGCAGACTATCAGATCCATAGGATACTACAGAAACATCTACAACCCCCCAGAGAGCAACGCCTCCGTCACTGTGGACTACTCTGAAGATGGACAGGTCTGTGTGTGTGTGTGTGTGTGTGTGTGTGTGTGTGTGTGTGTGTGTGTG